GGGTCAGTTGCAGAATAAAAATACTTGTACAGTACATACCAAAATTCAGTTCTTCTTGTTTATGGATTAGTTTAACATTTGCAGAAAAAATAATCAACAGACTAGCAATATTTTGGCTATTCATTGAAAATAAAAAAAGGATGGGAAGCTATGAACTTGAACACTCTTGGTCACCTCTCTTAGTGTCTTTTGTAATACATGTTCAAAAATATTGGCCAAAAGGAAATTAATAGCTCAGTAATATAATAATTATTTACATTAATAAGAAATTTGTATTTACATTAAATAACATTAAGCTTTCTGAAAATGAGTTCTTGGCATGATTGTATAAATTAAATACATTTTTGTATTAAGGCTATTCACCTTTTTTTTGTCTAAAACTATTTAATTCATGCATTTATACCAAATGCAATTTTAAGCCCCTTTTTTCTTCTACATAACTCATTATTAAACTATTTCCCTTTTTATATTTACAAATAAATTCTGAAGAAATACGTTTTTCTTTACTAGATCTTTTCTCCGTAAATCCTGAAAAGACATGAAATGTATGGTGAATTGCATCCTTTGAGAGGATTTTGGAGTCCCTTGTAGCAGATCTCAGTCTAATTCTATTTGCTGGAAGTAATGGTAAGAATGTATCAGGGGGGAAAAATAACAATGGAAAATATATCTGTAAACCACGTTAGAAAGTGTCTGAAGTTTAAAATGAGCATTTTTCATGTTCACATCTATTATTGAGGTGGTTGCTTAGCTACAAATGTTTTTTTTAATTTCTAGTTAATGTCCATATTGTATTTGGACATGTGACCAATAGTGGTGAGAAAAGGCTTTAATCTAGTACTATTAAAGATAGAGTATATAATTTATATTTAATATATATATAAAAATGCTGTATATACTTTTATACTGTACGTCTCCTTCCTTGGAATTATGACTTAAAATGTACATGCCTTTGAAACAGTTAAAATGGCTTGCCATTTACCAAGATTGCATGTGACCGTAAAAGGGATAACATGAGGAGTTCATTTTTTTTGTTGTTCAAGAAGTTGGTCATGAGAGCGGCTCCATCCAACTGACGTCTGACTAATTGGAGCTAACGAGACCCAATGTAATTTGCTGGCCGAATGAGCATCAATGTAGTAAAGTTCTAATGTAAACCTGCCATAATGGGCTGCTGTTGCCTCAGCTCTGAGCCACCAAGGGGCTTGTTATTGAAACCTCATGAGGATCCAGACCTCATGTGATCCCAATAACCCTGGACTTCTAATTAAAAGTAGTAAACATTCTTAACGAGGCCTCGGAAAGCTTTGTCTTGAAAAAACAGATGATAAACACATTTTTGTGTATCAGAAGAGGAAATTGACCTAATTACATATTTTCTGTAAAAGCCATGTCTGTTTTCTTGTGATCATACTGAACATTCTAGTCTGGAACTATGATTCTTCTCCTGTGCAAAATTGAAATGGCGGCAACAGCACCTACTGAATACGAGAAACAGGGGAAAACAGAATCTGGACATCCATAACAAGCCTGTGGGAGCAGCCTGCAAACCTCAATTAAGGCACTAATTCCTGCCAGAGCAATCAAACCAGGGCTTTCTAAAATACAAAGATTCTGATTTGATTAGAATCTTTGTATTTTAGAAAGCACTGGTTTGATTGCTTTTTGTACTGGAAATATACAGATACATACCGTATATATGTGTTAATTGATTCTTCCTAGGTGGCAGGAATTAGTGCCTTAATTGAGGATTGCAGGCTTCTGAAAACTAAAATATAAATGTTTTGCGTTACAGTGAGGTACAACAAGGTGATTCATAACCATGAAGATTCATGACTATTCTTCCAAAAGACAAAACAGTTGGTGAAGTTTTCATAATAACCAAACCCTAATTCTAACCCTACCCCAGCCTCTAGCATTTACCCTAATTGTAGATCTGAACCTCATATATCCTGTATAAAGAACTTTGTTTATGTTTATAAGCAATTATATAACTGTCGTGTCTTTTGAAAAAAGACTAGTTATAAAGGGTTATGAATGTTGTTGTGACACGTTATGTAGCCTTCAGGAAGGTTTTGTAAGAGCTACATAACGCCTAATTAAAAGGAAGACTTTTCTGGTGACCTAAATAAACATTTTGAAATGGTTTTCTTCACTCAGTTGTGAAATATATGAGAATATGCCTACAAGTACAGAGGGACACTTGTTAACAAGGCTCTTTATGACAACAGTATTGAGGTATTGTGAGTAGTCATTGTAGTGACAGAACACTGACAAAATGGACACAGATTATACTGTATTTCGTTGTAATTGTTTTTGTGGAGTCATGAGCACGTCTTCAAATAGAGAATTTCTGATTTTCTACCTCTGGATTTGGGTTAATTTTTAATGTGTTCTATACAGTATCTTTTGGAAGTAAAATGAATCATTCAGACTTAAGTCTGTTGTTGAAAGCAAAAGGCGAAAAAAAGGAACAATTTCATATGCTAAGTTTGTATTTTTTTCTATACTGTATACAGGACAGTAGGTAATGAGAATTTGTTTTTGAGTACTCTAACATAGTAGCCTGATGTAGTGTGTCTAAGTGCACAAAACTGTCAATTTGAAAAGTTGAGGAAATTTTATGTTGTTCAATCTCAGACAGAAGTGGAAAACGTTTGAAAAAATTGTGCTGGTGGAGTGAGGCCCTCTAAGTTTTGTTCACTTTTGTGTGGGAGTTTTTGGTTGTACAGGAGAGATTATGTGAAAGTATCAGCCCTTTCAGATGGCAGGGGAAATACAGCAACAACAACAAAAAAAGTTTTTTTAAATGACAGCCATTCTCATTTTTTTTCCCCCATTAAATTATGTTGTCCCTCTCTGTTTCACCTGCTTGTCCATGAGGACCTCTCTTTGTAGCTTGTACTACTAGAGTTCAGAGAGAGCGTTGTGAACTGTGAGTTTCCCACAATGCAGTTTCCGGACTCTTTTTTAAGCATCAGGGGTGACTTCAGGGGGTTTACATTCTCCGCTTTGTACATCTGAAACTAGCCTATGGGGGTGTTAGTTGATATCCACCCACTTAGCAGTCAAATAAACACAGAGTCTCCATTAGAATCAGTCTACAAAAGACAAAGACAATTTTCCTTGAAAGCTCATAAAAACCTCGGAAATTAGTCTGCTTCTCTTCATCTGAAGAATTTTTTTATAGGTTTTGGATGTTCGGTCTTTTATTTTTGTTATTAAAGGTCTACAGAGAACAATCCCATAAAACTTTAAATATTAGCACCCACCTCTCCCTTTCCTAAGGATTTATGTCCATGTCATGCATTTGCTTTGTTGTTTTCTTAAGCTATTTTTTTAAAGAAATATTAGAAACATTCATAGCCTGGAGAGGGTGCATTATTACTTATTATTTTAAGAATCTGTAAGTGAATTTGCACAGACAGTCATAGTGTGACAAACACATGCCTTTCTTGCTTCATTCATGTGAACTGTATTGTACATATGATGTATTAATTAGCTACAAAATAACAATGGCATACTGTAATTAATGGTATTAAAACAGAAAATCAAAACGTGATTCCATTACCTTTTTAAGTAGTGATCTGTATGGTTCTCCTGTTACTGTTTTGTCCTTCATTTTGTAAACCTGCTCTCGCTATTGCTAAGGACAAAGGCACTCAAAAGATTGTAACTGGGCAACAAGCAAAGATGTATTAATTCTGTCCTCCATCTCAACAGAACAAGCTCTCACATAGTATCAGGCACTAATAACACTGAGGGGATAATTTTAGATAATTTATTTTAGATTAACAAATATTGCAAAATGAAACACCTGTAATTTTTTCAGCAACTTTACCAATTGCACGATTATGGGAAAATGGGAAATACCGAAGAAAATACACGAGCAAGGAAACGGGAAACAAAATGAGCACAAGCAAGGTAATAAAACACAGTTAACCAAAACAAACAAACAAACAAACAAAGCCGAAGCTGACATCGTACAAATGCCAGTGAGCAAATGTGAGCACGAACTGAAAAGCTAACCGAAGTTGAGCCGAAAGCCCTTAAGGGTGGAACATCTTCGGTATTTAAACTGTAGATCTAGTTGCTGATTGGTCGGCCATTGATTGATGGTGATGTCACAACTGCAATGATGGTGTAGTGATGTACCAAGGTGGGGGTATCTGAATACCAGAAGCAAAAAACAAAACAAAAATACGGACACACACGGGGACGTAACAACAGCTCATTCCATAGGAGATCAAGCTGGTCTTTTTACATGTTCTCATTCAAAGAGAGAGTTTTTGAATAAGCAGAGTCACAGTAACACTGTCTCAAATAAAGAGGAGATAAAGAGAGATACATGAGACTTAATGGGGATGCATTATTATCAATGTAGCACTGAGCACTGATGTAGCACATCACTAGAATGAGGAGTCATTGTTGGAACATAGAAGAGCCACCATGTTCAACCAGTGCAGCTGATGATTTTGCAATGAAAAAATAGGAACTAGGAAACTAGGAACAGCTCTTGATTCAACTCATTTTAATGAAGCTAAGTGTGAAAAGCTGATTAAACATATAGGATGACTTGCTTAGCTCTAAATTTTGTAACTAATAGATGAGAGTGGGTTAAAATTTCTCATTAATGAGAAAGGATTTGTTACAGTGTTGCACACATTGACTGTTAGGTGCAGGAACATTGTGCATTATAATTATATATTGTATTGCTACAAGAGAGCCAGGAGTTCATTCTGACTGGAGCCTAAGACTGGATATTCCATTGCTGATACTCTTCAAGTTGGAAGAGTCCAGTCTAGAAAGTCTAAGGTCTCAGCTTGATGATGCTCTGCCTCCATGTTGAGATGTGGTTGGAAAATCACTACCAAGAAATAATTTCTGACCTGAATAATCTGAGAGAGAGGAATCTGTCTCCTGCAAGAGTGTTACACAGAGACTGGATTTGCAGATGTTATAAGACATGTACAGTAAAAACTCTTGTTTTTCCTGTTTAGTAACCAACATCAGTCATGCTCTGATGGACTCCACTTTCCTGTCAGAATTCTTTCCTCATCACTGGAATCCAGGAGAAGCAGACAGAGCTCCCACCCAAGGTAACCTCATTGCTCCTATCTCCAGTACTGTACCTACTGCAGGATTGTAAAATTAACTGTTTTTCCAGTGTGATAATATGCACATTCATCTTCTGCACAAGGATATATTTCCTGTGCAGCCTTCTGAAGGATTCCTTTTTAGGCTAATCCCAGTCCAACTTTGGGTGAAAAATATCATTATATTTTTCATGTATATCAAAGTAAGTAAAAAAAAACTTTATCTCCTTCTAGGATTATCTGATCAAAAACTCAGAGCCTGGAAGTTTCCGTGGTCCACCTCTTAGTGATCCCTTTCTAACAGGGTATTCATTTCATTGCTAGCATATCTTAAGTGGGCTCAGCTGTTTGTTACCCTACCATCCTGGCAAATAGTAAACTTCTCAAAGCTAAAATTATTTTTTGCTTTAAATTTATTCTGCCATGTTTATATTTCAGAAGACGTAAGCAACCAGAGATAAAAAACCTAATGAATTTGTAAACAGTGCATAGAACCTTTCTCTCATGTACCTCATGAATAATCTATGGCTTAGATAGTGCTGATCTGCAGAGTCTCTCAAGTGCTCTTTCGTGACTCCCAGGAGTGAGCAACAGGGGTTCTGTGTTGTTCACTGTTTGAGCAGATAGAAAAGCTCTCCTAGCACTGTTTGTAACTGACTGTCTTACACATGTTTTCTGCCTTTCTCTTATGCACAGCTTCAGAATGGACACATTGCTTTCATCTCTGTTTGTTTCAATACTTCCTCTTTTTGTTTAATGATTATTTTAAAAAAACACACCTACAGCCAATTATTTGAAGACATTTCTTTATTAGAAAGACATTTTGAAGACGGAGGCCTAACATTTTCTTTTGAAAGGAGTGTTCTCTCAAATGGCATTCTGTTTCTTTGTTCCTTTGTCCTGAAGTAAGAGATTCGAATCGGTGTCATTTTGACTGTGGGATATCAGCAGTGAAAGTATTCCGTGCAAGTAGCAGCCCATTGTAAATAGACATGGATAATTGTATCTGTGCTATAGCAGTTCCTGTGAAAGGGTATTCGGGAAAAGTTTTACTCACACCTGTAAGAAAAGACTAGTTGAAAATGCATTGAACATATTTTAATGAAGTCAGATTGCTATAGAAAAACTGTGTAGAGTTTACCAGTTTTATGTGTGTTAGATTTTCAGAAGTTCCAATTGGAACCAGGACTTATAAGTTTTTTTCCCTGATCCCAGAGAAGTGTTAGCTAGATGTGAATGCTTATTCTAAGTAGTTTCTTTGCCCATGGCCCTGCAATGGGTTAGCATCCTGGTCAAAGGCAGTCATTTATTCTCATGCTTGCTTTGCATCCAATGCTTCTGCAGTTGGCTCTGGCTTATTGTAGCTTATAAGTTATAAGTGTCTAACTGGTTATGGATGCGTGAATACCAAAAACAAAATCTTTTTATTAAAATTGACAATGACTTTGTCACAAGGAGCTTATTCCTTGAACAGAATCTGGTCAATAGTCAGTCTAACTGTAGGTTTCTAGAGTGGGGCTATAGAATTCCTATTTCAGGATTTTGTGTTGTGCTCATCTTGGTCTTTGGTTTGGCTTGATGTGTATATATGATCTGGCTAAGTGGATGAGTGTGCACTATGCAAAAGACATACAATACATTACAATTTTATTCTGTATGCAACATAATGCAAAATGTCTTTGTATGTGAGCCAGCTGAGTACTGTCTGTTCTACTATAGAGAGTTGTGGGATGTATTGGAATTATTTTAATTAAGTGTTTTTGTCCACTTCACGGCAAAATGCATTTGTATCTAAAATAGTTTTATTCTTGAAATCATTCGCTCTGTAGAATCCTTGGGTGTGCTTACCAGTATTAACTCACTCCCAGTATATAAAATAGTTACAGTGTATATTAAGTGAATACATAACTTTTGGGCGAGATATTCCTATTAAAAGTAGATTTTTATTGCTTCATGTAGTGTCTCCATCTATATATATACACTGTATCATTTGCAACTTTGTGGGAGTTTTAACTTGAAAAAGCTGAAAGAAGCTACAGGTAGCTGTTGCCTGGAAATGTGCCTTAATTTGCATGAAGAAAGAAGATGGGGAAAAATGTCCTGAACATATTGAATTTCTTTTTCTAAATGACACTGTCTAATGGGCCTGTCATTTACCTGTTGAAGGAATATGTCTTAGCTCATCCAAGGTTTTTAGTCTACCCTAATCCCCTTTTGCAATGTTAAGAGTACACTAAAAGTCCCATTACGTTGGTAACTTAGAATCAATGTCTGAACTCCATTGCTGGTCATATCCAGCCCAGAGCTCTGTTTGTACCTGTCCCTCCTTGGAGATGTAATTTGCTTACATCAAACAGGTCATGTTCATACAGTAGGTATATTTTGTGGTTTGTAAAGCTTAAAACTTGTATTTATTTTCCATCTTTTAATCACTTTTTTAAACTATGCTGTTGCAGAGAATACAGGGGTTCTCTTTGTATTTTTAGCTGCAGACCTTTGACAATTGAAATGGGCTCCAAAAAGAAATCTGTATCATATTGTACTGCAGTACCCTGAATTTTTGGATTTGTGTTCCCTGTGTATCTCTGTGTGTGGTGCTATTACTTCATCATTCTGGGAAGCCTCTTACAATCTTATAAGTAGGTGTATTATATGCCATACTGAAGATGGTCTTTACTTTCCCCTCTCACTGTTTCTGGGTCATGGGGGACTATTTGTCTGGTTTTGACCTTCTTGTGTGATTCTTACCAGAAGGAGATTAGTGGCTTTTCGGTCATCCTCATGTTTTTGAAAAGAATAAAGGCTTTACAGGCTTAAGAACTGCGTGGGTCACTTTTCTTTTGTACGTTGTCATTTTTGATTGGAGTTAGGAACCATCCCCATCTTGAGAATCTGTTTAAGATCAGATTTCAGCCGACAGAAAGCTCAAGGAAAGATCAAGGCTGAAATGGGAAAAGTGTGGCTCTGACTTATGCATTATTCATTTTCTTCTAAGTAAAACGTACTGTAACTCATTTATGAGTAGTTCAAAATGACCTAGTTAAATTGTTTGACAAACATCTGGATTCAGCAGCCCTTCTCTCAGTGTGTTCAGCCTGTGGCCTTTCTGGCTTAAAAAAAAGTAAATTACGTCCTGGAACAAAGGAATGCAAATGTCTGTTGCAAAGGAGAGGCTGCAGGACTACGAAGAGGGAGCTGTAAACTGACCCCTGTGGATTTGGTCCTGGTATTACACTATTCAATTAAAAGGGCAGTCTTGAATGCTTTGACCAATTGTTCAAAGTTGTTGTTCACAATATTTTTAAGAAGTGACAAAGAAGAAGGCTCCACAGCCGAAATGTCAGCTACCCACCTGACCTATAATACAGACAGTTCAATTAATGTTTTTTATTTAATCTGATAGAGAATTTATGGTCAATATGTTATCATCCTCAATAAAGTAGCATTTAGGAGAGTATTTTGACAGTGTGGTTAACTCTTTCTTCATTCTTGATTACATATGCATATTACATGTGCAATTTGTAATTGTGGGTTTATTTACTGTGGTAAACCTGTAAATCCCAATGCCAAAATATGAAGACTGAAGTGTCCACAAAACACAGCTCTTCTCTCGAGCTTAGTAACTATGTAATTAACTACCTTAGTTACTGAACCATCAGTCTTCACTTAAGTTGGTGTTAATGTCAGCACATGACTTTCTCTTTTGGAAAAATATATTGGGATTATTTTTAGGAGAAAGTATTGTAGATGGAACCTTGATGATTTGACCATAAAATCAAAGAAGAGATTACAGTTACAGTGGGAGAAGTCAGTTGGACATCAGTTAAGATTAAACAAAAAACAAAATGCGGTTTCTCTGACATCTTTGGGAACTGGCCATTCTTTGGGTCCAGACTGCCATTGAGCAATTAGAGTCAATTAAAAGCTTCCTGTAGACAGAAAAAGAGCCTCATCGGGATAGGTGCAGGCTCCTGGATTTCTGAGTTAATCTGTTATGTCAGCAGGCCCTGTCCTTAAATCCACTGCGCTGCTTTTTTCTTCCCTCCAGCTATTTCCTGTGACTTTGAGTCACCTTGCTCCTGGACCTTGTCCAATCACAGCACAGGGGGAGATTGGCTTGTCACATTGCCACAGCAGGCTCAGCCCAGTCGGCAGATCACACAGCCAGCCACTGATCACTCCACAGGTGGTACTGATGGTAAGAGCTTGGGGATGGTTTACGTCATGGCCTTCTCAGCTTTCCACGCTGTCAAGCCCAGACTGGGAGAAATACAGCTGAAGCACAAAGAGGTTTTTCTGTAGCGTTCTGCCATGTATTGTTTAGTTTTCTGGATTGCAGTGTCCTTGTTGTCAAAACAATTAGTCAAGGCTTGTCTTCAGCCTGGTGAGGTCAAACCACTTTGGATGGGACCCTTAAAAATAATTAAAGTTAGATTTTTCTGAAACAGAACCACATTTAACAGAACAAAACAAAGAAGAATGTTTTGTGTAACTCAGCTCCGCTTTACTTTTGACCCACTAACTTTTCTCTTGTTGTCACTACCCAGGTCACTTCCTACTCCTGACAGCTGCAGCACAGGCTGCTGGGATATGTGAATTCTCCTTGACAAGCCCTGTATTGCCAAACAGTGCCCCAAGATGCCGGCTGCAGCTGGCACGGTACCAGTCTGAACCAAGCCAGGGGGACTTATCAGTCCAGGTCACAGCAGTAGGCACCAATGTGGTAACAAGATCAACAGCTCACAGTGACCGGGAGCAGGAAAACAGCAGGTCAGAGTTTGCGATTTACTCTATAACAACTCCATCTTTTAACTTGCGTCCAAAGTACATGTTTGCTTTTGTTGTTGTTTCTTGGCCTTTGTATTCACAGTTTCACCTGCCTGGCATCATTCTTACAAGATTATAGACTCCTCCACTCCAATTCCTTTACAATCACGTTAGATAATCCTACATTACCATTTACATGCCTGAAATGCACTGTGCGACTGAGACACAATTTAATCTAAGCCTTCTTCTGTTACTGGCCGCTCTCTTCTGGTGCACCTAAGACCTCCTGCACCGTGCCCCTCCTGACTTCTCCGAAAAACATTTCCAACAAATTCAATAATCCAGGCACACATCCATGCACATCCATCCACTTGCAGCAAGAATGAAAGGAGCTGTAAAATCCAATCTGCTCCTGGTACTGTACTCATCCTCCCTGACAACACTGCATTCTGCACAATGCCATTCCTCTGAAAGCAGTAGAGGCTTCTGTCAAAGGCATTATACAAGGCTTGTCTTCAGCCTGCTTCATTTTTACTATGTGACATCTTTTATTATCATTTTTAGTGGTTATAACAGAAAAAAACACTGGTTCATTGTCTTACTAAAAGCACCTACTGTATGTAACTTCTACAAAGTATGGTGACATTGTGTCAGTGACAACCTAAGGTTCGTCAGTGATCCCTGGTTAAACTTTTAGAAACCTTTTTTTTCTAAATTTGATGTATTTATGCAAGGCATGCAGAAATTTTGACAGTAGTTGCTGATTCAGAGATAAAATGGACTGTGAATTGCCATTTATTCAGATTTACGACTCACTGATATAACAGTTTATTTTCAAATAAATAAAATGTGCACGTCTGATGATATTTCGTTTCGTTCCAGTTACTCTAACAGTAGAAGGCTAAGAGCAGAGAATACCCTTTGGCATTTGGTTTAATTTAGTAATGGCATTAGGTTCCACTGGCACTCCTTCACAAAGGGAGACCACTTGTATCTGTGTGTCTTCTGATGAGATGATGTCCTTACAATTGATTTTATGCCAGAAGTCCTCCTTCCAAGACAAATAATAGTATTTCAATTCTTAAAGCAGGGATCTGAAAACTAATCTGGATATACAACAGGTCAGAAGAAGGAGATGGAGGGAAAAGAATAATAGACAACATAAACAGTCCAGTATTAAATTCCCATTATAATATACTGCTGTGCCTAAAGACAAGTGCTTTTTCTGTGAAGGTCAGATTAGTTGAGACTGCCAGTGTGGATAATGTTCAGGCACTCTGAGTCATTCTGGTCTGTGCGCAACACAGCCTCTATTATCTTGCTGGGAAATGGTTAAGTTAAGCAGTAGAGGCTTCAGTATGAGGTAATGGGAGTCTGTGTGACGAAGTACATTAAACCGAGAGACCCTTAAATAGGCTGAAATGGTTTACGCATGGGCATAAAAAGTGCAACATGTGACATAGAACTAATTCCTCACAAATAAACTGTTGTAAAAGTCATCAATTCTTTGACCTAAGACTGAGCATGGAAAGTGGTCTGGGTTTTTTCTGCCCATACTAGGAATTGACTCAAAAGTGATTACAAACTTAAAATAAATGAGTCTTCTATTGGGAGCTCAGTATTACAGGATAAATAATTAGCCATTAGTGTCAAGGAGACATGGATCTAATTACAGCAGAGGAGTTTGTTCGTCGGTTTAAATTAGCTAGGTCCATTTCATTTCACATGCTATTCTCCCATGTCTGCCACAGCTGAGCTGTTCTGCAATGCCACTTCACATGGATTCTTAATTAGAAATATGAGCAGCTTGAACAATCAATTATCTCCCAATAACCTCAGAACAACTTTGAATTGGAGTTGAGGAGCCTTAAAGGGTTTGACTAACTTTCTTTAGAGATAAAAAAAACAAAAGTTTCCAGAGAACATACAGTAAATTTGAAATTCAGGAATACAATTTTGTTTTAAATGGATGTCTGCCAAAAACAGTATAGACTAATTAATCTTATTGTAGCTTTAAATGTACTCAACTGCCAGGGACAGGCTATTATCATATAAACATTGTGATATGAAATAGTGATGCATTTTTCAAAACTATAATGCAGAGTAGAGAGAATTTCGTGCAGTCTGAGTTACTATGGATTTGGTTTTGTAAGAGGTAACCTAAAGTATATAGAACTTTGCTTGTTTTACTGTATGTATCCAAGCTACTTTCAGAACTTTGCTTGTTTTTATATAACTTTCTTTTTGTTTTATACTAAACTGGAATTTAGTACAAAACTGGAAATTTCAAGCTGGCCTCAACTGGAATTTATCCACTCACTGGTGCACTAAAGCCATTTTAAGATTGGAGATGAAGATGCACGTCACAGAGCACATGGCGTGTGTAAGACTGTCCACTCCTAATTCCCACTGTGGGGCCTGTGGGGCCTTAGGGAGCTAGGGCGTCAGATGAGCTCTTAACAGGTAACACTGAGAGCTTACTAATGCAAGGCAAGTCATCAGTGATGCTGAGAAACCTAGCTGGCCCTGGCAGCATTCGACAGCATCCTTATCTGCTCCTGCTTGGAGAGGCCCAGTTGCTCTCTGCAACATAGCCAGCAATGTCTAGACAATAAGGTGTACGCTATACAAGTGTAAAGCAGCTGTAGTGGTTTCGCCCCATCAAGGACTGAAGAATGTTCTAGGTCTGTAATATTAGAAGAGATAATTTCCTCATTTTAACTCCACTTTTAACACTTTGTGGTCAGTGGGAAATTAATCATACAGTAGATGGCAAATAATGATGAGGACTTTCATTCTTCTTCTGGGAGAACAAAATTTTAAGATTGAAGAAGGAATGGTGCACATTTTGAAACTTGAAGATGTCCTACTGTTCTAACAGCACAGCTGAATACATTCATGCTATAGTTCATCTCGGTCTCAACTAAATGGGCATGATCAGGTTCATTTCAGTTTAAATGGGCCCCAAGGTAAATACAATTTTGTTGAAGGACATTAGGAGACCATTAAAATAGCTACAAAGCTTCTGTTAATACATAGAGATTTGTCTGTAACAAAAGTCAAACAGCTGTCTGGCCTATAATATTTGGGCTTACGTCTAAGTATACAGGGTGAAAACACAGACAGCTTTAATGAAAAGCAAGTTCTGTGTATCTTTTAAATGCAGACATTATTTCTGAAAGGTAAGCTTTAAGCCTGATAGAAATAGTTATCATTGATTAAATCATCATGATTTCTTCCACTCCTCCACAAGTAGTTAATGGTTTTGATTAACACCATTTACAGTCAATACAATTGTTTGTGTCCTGTTACTGATTGCAGCCTGTGTATGATTCTGGGCAACAGTTTAAAGTTGCCAGAAGGTAATATGCTTTCAAATTGCACTTAACTGCAGCCTTCTACAGAAAACAGAGCAGCTGAGGAATGGTGTGACACAGTCTACACTTAATACTTTTTAAATTAATGTTAAAAACTCTATTCATTAAAAAAATCCTGTTCAATGTAAGCATTGATTTACAGCCTTAAAAGAATGAATATGTAGTCATTAATTTAAGTGTTTACTGTTACTCAACAGTCTGTATTTTTGTTTTCAATTTAACTTATTTTTTTTAATTTGAATAAATGAATTGGATTAATAAGATTAAATGACATACAATATGCCCTTACTGCTCATCGTGGAAATAACATTTGATTTTAGCAAAGGGTTTCTAGAATGATTCAATCTATTCCTGATAAATTGAAGGAGTTTTTAGGCCAAGTCTAGTTGAAATTGAATAGTTTCTTTTCTCACTGTGAGAATGTGTGATTCATTGGTCCTCTGTATCCATGTTTTGACCCTTAAAGTAATTTAGCATGCTGCCCCATCTCTCCAAGTGTACTGTTAAAGAGGTCCTTAACGGAAAAGGAAAAAAAAAATTTAGGATGTGAGGTGTGAGTGACTGCTATCTGCTGCCGCAGCCTCTGACCCTGGATTCCTCTGTTTTGTTCAGGGCCCAGTGGGAGGCGCTGGTTGCCGAGATTGGTCAGGTAGATCAGCCCTTTCAGGTCACCCTCTTGTACTCCATATGTGGCCATGGAACTGGGGGCACACTAGCTATCGACTCCCTGGAGCTCAAGGACTGTGTCATAGGTAAGAGGAATTAAGAGGACGGGCGGGGAGCTATATGAAACCCGGAGGAGACTGGGCTACATAGAGCCTCAGTGTGCCAGTATGGGACTCCTGTTCTCTTCCGTGTCATGACAGGTGCTCGCCGGCCGGAGGCCAGCTGTGTGGAGGGCACGTCTTTCCAATGTGACGTGGGGGGATGCATCGACAAGAGCAAAGTGTGCGACTTCCACAAAGACTGCCCCCTAGGGGAAGACGAGGCAGCTATCTGTGGTGAGTAATTTACCTCTTGGTGTGCTCCATTGGGAATTCCAGCTTGTGGGAGGAGTTTAAAAGGGCTAGTGGAAAAGGGCAAGTGGAAACCAAGAGAACTGTCTGCATTGAGTAGGTTTTAATTCTGTAGTTTTTAGTGGGGATCCTCTAAGTAACTCTCTGACTTGTTGTTTCATGAAATTGCTGTTCATGCAGCTGCAGTGACTCCTATTTTTCACAGTTTAGTGGAGCACCAGTTTAGTGGAGATGAGTTCAATGCTCTCTTGATTTTGTTATACAGTAGAACAAAAAGGCATTAAAATTAATTAGTAACCTGTTTCCTCAATAGTTCAGGTGGGTAGCTGCGTCAGCATGCGTAGGCTGCAATGAAACAAGTAATAGGTTTATTCCATGCTGGAAAAAAAAGAAGAAAGAAAACACAACATTTCGGCCGTGGAGCCTTCTTCAGGTGTGACACCTTGACACCTGAAGAAGGCTCCACGGCCGAAACGTTGTGTTTTCTTTCTTCTTTTTTTCAGTATGGAATAAACCTATTACTTGTTCCTTTGTTTCCTTAGTAGATCTTTCTCCAGTCAAATAAAATGCATCAAATGTGTTGAGTACAGCAGTGTAGAGGGTAGTGATTCCTTCACCATAGGGCCAATTTCATGTACTGTAAAAACACCCCAGAGTAATGTGCAATGAAATAAAACCACACCACACTCAGCCCCTGCTGGGTGTTGAGAAACCTTAATTGCTGGGGTTATTTGAGCTTCAGGGTCTCTTGGCAGGAGAGAAAATTAGAAACAGTTGAATTTTTGCCTGTTCAATATCATTCTCTTCTTCTAGCACAGGGATCAGAAGTATTTTACCACGTTTATTCATAACAAAGCAAATTGTGAAGTTTTTGCTGACACATGGTGTCGGGATGTAGAATTAGGGGGTCAGGGGGTTAGGGTTAGGGTTAAGCTGCTGGGTACATTTTTATAAGTAGGATCAGCAACTTGGCCTGGTGGCTGTGACTGTAGAGAGAAGAGCAGAGCGAGTTAAAAGTCAAGCTAAGGTTAGTTTTCAAGAATTAGGCTAGTGACGGGGTTATGTTAAAGCTAAACAACATTGATCAAAGGTAGAAAGTTATCTGGCATTACAGTTGGAGGATTTGGGGGTTTAAGGGTGAAGCTTAAGAGGTCTGACTGAGATTAACCTGAAACTTGTAGGGATAGAGTCTTTTTTGGTATTAAAGTAGGTTATATTTTTGTGGAACCAACTTTCAGTCAGAGCTAGAGAATGGATAGGATCATTCGGTTTAGATTGAAGCTGATTACAGGTTTATGAGGCTGGAGTTTGCATTAAGGTGACGCAATAAATTTGGTAATTTACTGTGTATTTCTTAGACAATGTTGATCTAGCAAAACCTTTTGGACCTAAACTCTTTAAAAACAGAAGTGATCAATTAAAAATAATTAGGAGCCATGCTTTGTTTTGGAACCTGAAATACACTGCTTGTTTTAACTAAACATTTAAGTGTAATATATAATATTTAATATTTTTGATAGGGGAAAAAAACCCTCTAGCTTCACTCAGACATACCTTGTGTAAAACAAAACTTTGGCATAAATTGTTAGAGAATAAATGATTTCATATGACATTTTGGTACTGGCACATCATGTGGATTCTTTTCAAACTGGGCAGATGTCTGAGGCTGGTTTCCCCAAGCCACAAGGCTAAACTTGAGAGTCGCTCATTCTGTGCACATGACCATTTTATTTATAATTCTGCTGTGGTGGTAGTGGATCAGTCAGAAAAAAATCTTGTTTTTCTTGCAGTGATAAACTCCAAATACCTGAGTTTTAGGAATTTTTCAAACTAAACAAAAACCTGTCAGTTTCATCCGAGAAAACATCTTCTAACCCTCCTGAACTTCAGCTCCAGCTTAAATGCCTTTCTGCTTTAAGTGTAGGCGATGTGATTCTTGATGAGTGGGGACTGAAATTGTTTAACTGATTAATTTTATGACTTTCTTTTCATTTAAGAAATAGTAAAGCACAGTTATTGATTGCAAAAGTCTCACATCCCAGTAATATGAGAACTAATTGCAAATGAACTGTTCTTGTTATTCATCAAAAGCATGTAGCAGATGGTTTTAGACATATACTTTATCTAACAAATGAAGCATTCTTTGAACAGAAGTACAAGCAGAGACAATCCTGTCAATTCAGTGGAAAAGTATGACCATTTTCAGACATTCTTTTGAGCAAATTAAAACCTTTGATAAAGAGATCAGTCAGCAGGTGCTGTATTTTGCCTTTAAATAACAGCTTTTTAAAATCAGTCACTCTGATATTGAACATCTTTGACCTACAATAATTTAATGTATAGTTATTTTCACATGTGTTCACCCAAGTTTCCCATTTAAATCAAGACTGCTGTGAAAGATATAAAGTACACAGCTGTTCGTGCAAGTCATTTCTCTTGTTTTTTGACTAATTTTGCAGAGGCAGCTGTATCGAATATCACATGCCAGGAGAGTTTGCACTACCTGATCATTATGTTTGTTGCCATATACCTCTGTTAACTTTAACCTTATAATAGCTTACGTCAAGAGCTGTTTTCTTTCATTCAGTAGATCTTTAAACATTTGAAAGCATGACATACACCAAAACTTCAGAAGTAAGTGTTCAGTAGTATTTCACGGTTATAGGTATAAAGTCAAGAAATCTCTTCTCTCTATGTCCCTACATAGGCAGTCTGTCTTTGTGCAACATACTGTAATCATTTTGTCAGAATCCAAACTTGCAGTCCTTTTGCTTTGTCTTCTATCCAACAATAGCTGGTTTTGCATGTGAAGTTGTAACAGCTTTCTCACTGGGAGCACAACACAGTGTGTGCTAAGCAGTGCTAAGTAATGAGGCTGCTTTAAAAACTGGCAGTACTCCTTAAAATGTTTAAATTGTTGAGCCCTGGGGATGAGTCTCAAATTCAATTCCTGGCAAGCAGAAACAGCTTTAAATGTACGTATGTGCGCTCAACAGACCAATTCATTATGCTAAGTGAATGCTGCATGCTTGCTAGAGAGAACTGTCTGAAACCACCAGCTATCAATACATCCACATAACAAGCAATGAAACAAATCAGCACAGCTTGACAACATATAGAAAGATGTTTCTTTAGAAATCCTAATTGAAAAATACAAATATATTTTGAAACGGACATTGCTGCTGCTACTACAACTGCTGTAACAACTGCCGCTAATAATTGTTTCCTCGTCTAGAAATGCAGATAACCATCTGCCTAACATTTGGTAATTTGTTTTTAAATGGCTTTAGTTGTTTTTCTTAAATGAACTGAGCTGACAAAGTTGGGTTTGATAAGGTTTTTCACTCTGAGTAGGTTTCTGACTATGTCTATAAACTAGAGTATGTCTAAAGTGTGGGTCGAGAAGGAAAAAAAAATCACCAAGATTTACTTGTACGTGAAGAAAAACAATGTTTTCTTAATCAAATTGTCACGATCACGGACTGAAATCCGTGTCAGATCTTGTAGAAGACCCGATGCGATGCGGTAAGAGCTGGAGAAAACAGGAGGCGTGGTAAAAGGGAACACACAGGGGTTTAATAGTGCACAAAATAATAGTGACAGTACGTGAGACAGTGAATGGGGAAGACAAAACGGCATCCAAATCCAAATGGGTCCAAGGGCAGGTTAAAGCACAGTCCGAGAGTCCATCAACAAGGAATCCATCCTGGGACACGACAAAGTTAAAATCCCCGGGAGGGGGGAACACACGGACAGACAAAACATGGAGGTCCAAGGGTGACAGGGTGAGATCCTCCAGACCCCGGGCTCAGGAAGCGGGAGATGTCGGGGATGAGGCCTATGCCCTCAGGAGACGGACGTAGGGTTTCCTGGTGCCAGGCGGGCCTCGCGACATCTTACCCTAATGATGAGCCCCGAGGACTGGAGGAGCTGGTCTTTAAGTAATAACGCTAAAAGGGTACACCTGGGTAACTTAATCACACGGACAATAATGGGAGCAGTGGAGCGCCCTCTAGGGAGGGATGTCAGGCGTGACACAAATAAATAAAAAAGAATGTAATAGTCCTCCACAGGTTATGGTATGGCCTGCTTACAATGGCTGTGTAGTCCCCCTGCTATGCACAGCTCCACTGCACTGGTCCCTTTAGAGTAAGTTGGGCCAAGATGTGAGATTGTAGACAGAAACAAACCCTTGGAGCTCTGGCAGTAAAAAGATTCTCCAGTGTAACAGAACAGCTGAAATTCTAATGTGCACAGTATGATGCTGAAAACAACACAGCATCTTCTGTAAGAGCTTGTGATATGCTGGTCTGCTCTGCAGCCAAAGACTGCTCTCACTTGTGCAGTATATGCACAGCACTGCACACAATAAAATTCATATCGATAACCTGCTATGAGTGAACATGTCAAGTTGTGAGGTCACCATCATAAAAACCTTTCTGGAACTCCTTAGAAGGTGAGACAAAACAAAAAAAACTCTGGTCTCTGGGACGAATATTTTTGAACTTTTAAGAAAATATCCTTCCTATTATTTTCTTTATGGCAGCAGAGAATGTTCCCTTAACCTTCATTGCCAAGTACAGATCACATACTTCTCATGGCTGTAGCAGGGCCGATCAGCACTACCAGACTCAACTGAATATTTATATTGAGCATAACTAGGCATTGATGAAAAGAACATAGACTGATCATTTTCTTAAGTATCCTGTATCTGTATGATAGTAAAAATGGAATGGGATCTCTCTGTTTCTGTTGCCTAGACTCCCTGCCCCCTGGAGCCTACTGTTCATTCGAGTCTGGGCCTTGTGGCTGGTCTGTGTCCAGTGAGCCCTCCTCCTGGATGCTGATCAGTGGGAAGGATCTCTCCGCTAGCTCAGGTCTCCTAGGATCCACTCTGCAGAACACTGAAGGTACACCCCTGTCCAGTCACCCCTTGCTAAATGTCCGTCCCAAGAAACTGTTCTCTCCACTAGATGAATGCAACCTATTCAATTTTGTTATTTTCTGAGTAGTTTGGATTTGTCACACAGTATATTTAATTTTAGAGTTTATGGGGTCACCAGTTAGCTTATCTAAAAAAAGAGGCTCACCCTGCAGGCAGATGAAGCCTTATAATTCAGACAATGCTGTTTTGATCCCTAAATGGCAGTAACAAACTGCCCACGCAGTGTCTAATGGCACACAAGTAGTGCTAAGTGGGCATGAGCTGGTCACCATCCCTTCAACATGCAGTAGCCACAGCAACTCCTGTGGAATTTTGCCTGTCAGCTTGCTGTTCACACTTTGTGCATGATTCTCATCCTCTGTAAGGGTGACATCTGCAAGTTCTAACATAGGACATTTGAAAAGAAGAATATTTGTCTGTTCAATTTTTCTTTAAGAAGATTTGAGGCCTGTGCGAAATAATATTGATTTGGTTTCTGGGAAGGTCAGTAGGTATAATTGCTCAATGCATCCCTTTTGCCGTCACCTGCAGGCCACTTCCTGTTCATGAGAGTAGGTGATAACTCCACTGGTGGAAGTGCTGTGACTCAGAGCCCCTTCCTTCCACCTACAGCTGCCACTGGGGAGTGCCAGGTGAGACTGATGGACAGGTTTGAAAGAGTGGGAATAGCTGCCAGTAGCTCCTATGTCATACCTGTAGTCATCATGAGCCAGAGTACTAGAGCCAGACTCCAAGAGAGTGTTAATCCCAAACACTTTCTGCACTATTACTATTACTGTTGCTGCAGTCATAGTATTTAAAGTTGCTTGTAAATCTCAGACGGACTCATCCAGACAAAAATGTTCCACTAAATGGAAGAGTCCAGGACCAGCAGGATTTCACCTTGAAGCCTTTTAAAATGTTGTTTACAGGTGCAGTTCTCCCTCTACCTGTACGGGGAGTACAATGGCACAGTGCTGCTCTCAGTGGAGGAAAACGGTACAACAGGAGCATCCCCCCTGGTGTGGGAGAGAACAGGCAGCTGGAAGGACAGCTGGCTGGAGGTCACTCTGCAGCTCTCTGACATTCTGAATGGGTACTCACTCTTCAAAGGGGTAGTTTAATATATACGTATTGCTGTACAGTTAGCCAGACATTTAAGCATGGAGAGCGCAGGACTAAATTCACATCTCCTGAGTGGATCTAACCTTTTCCAGACGCAGTTCAGTTACTTTAAAAAGAAAGCCAGCAGCCATATCACCCTGCACCTCACAACTGGCAGCCCACTGAAGCTAAGTAGGTGTGAGCCTGGTCAGTACCTGGATGAGAGACCTCCTGGGAAAAACTAAGCTTGCTTCTGGAGCCAGCAGTTGGTGCTCACCCTGCAGTCTGTGTGGTTCCTAATGCCCCAGTATATTGACGGGGACACTATTCTGTAAACGGGTGCCGTCTTTCGGATGAGACGTAAAACCAAGGTCCTGACTCTCTGTGGTCATTAAAAATCCCAGGGTACTTATCTGAGAACCCTCTTTCGTAAAGAGTAGGTGTGTAACACCGGCGTCCTGGCCATATTTCCCCCTGGCTTTTATCACACACGGCCTCCTAGTAATCCCCGTCATGGCTTCATCACTCTGTTCTCCTCCCCGCTGATAGCTGGTGTGTGGTGAGAGTACTACCGTACTATGGCTGCCGTTGCATCATCCAAGTGGGGCAGCACATTGGAGGAGGGGGGCACACTGGTGGAGGGGAGTCCCCATTACTGTAAAGCACTTTGAGTGGAGTTTCCAGAAAAGCACTATATCAATATATCAATATAGCACCTTACATCAATTTCCCTACGGGATTAATAAAGTATTATCTATCTATATAAGTGTAAGGAATTATTCATTATTATTCAGCTTCCCTGTTTGTCTTTTATTCTGTCTGCACATCTGAACAAGGCTCACCCGTTTGCCAGACAAAAGTAGCACAGCAAATATCCTGCTTGCTCTCACATGACTTCCAAAGTCATTTATTAGCATTGTTAAATGCAAAACTGACATGTTAAAAGGAGTTAATGAAGTCCCAGTAAATGCCTGGAGGCTGTTCAAGACCGTACTGTTTGGTTAGTTTGGTAAAGACAAAGTATTTTAGTATTTTTTACACAACCTGTGATCCTCTAGGTTTCACCTGAGCCTGAAGGCCATTTGGAGGCCAGGTTCGACTGCAGATATTGCTGTGGACAGCATAACTCTGGGACCTTCCTGCTTTGACATAGGTATGTGTGCTTTTCCAGATGATTTTGTCCCCTGCCTCAGTCAGCACTTGGATAAGAACCACAAGGTACAGATAGACATTGAGGAGGACATATCAGGAGGTTCTTTTTCATCCAACGGACACAGCAGCAAAACCTTCAGGCTTTGTGAGGATTTAGGCTTGATAAGGTTGTAGTCTGACTAATCTCCTCAAAATAGAAAGAAAAGACTCTTGGTTGCATCCCTGGGAGTGTAATGAAAAAGATTCCATGAAACAATATTGTATCATGATTTGATCAAGATTTGGAAAATAATGTTGTTTTGGACTGCACAAGGTCTTTACTCGTCCAATATTTTTCTTGACTGGTTCACTTTGGAATGCAACATATTGAATTGATATTTCCTATTCCCACTGCTGCTTGAATTATCCGACTACTGTGCTGTTATCAAGTACTGGTCCTGCCAACACCCCCTTCAAATAATTCCAGCGTATTCTGCATGTCCACAAATTCATCACTATTACCGCCTTGTCTCAAAGTCCTCGAATAATGTTACGTTATAATCCACATATAAAATCTGCAAACCCAGTTGTGTTGAGGTGATACTTTTGCAGTGAAACATAATGTTACATTCTGTATATGTCAATAGCACTAAAAACAGCTTTGGCAGTAGGCATTGCCGTCCTTGTGTAGGTTTAAAATATTTTGGGCCAAGAGGAGCAATAGTCTGCAGTTGAGCAGCTCAGTGACGGGGGCATTGGAACACAGAGAGGAGGATGGTCAGTGGTCACCTGCTGAATTGGAGGTGGAGATGCAGGTGCCCTAGAAATATACCTACCTTGGTAAAAAGAAAAGTGTGAAAGTCTTGGAAAAACCTGGAACCATAATATCAGCCCTAGGCAAAAAAACAGTGTATGGTATACAGTAAACGGGGAGAATCCATGGGAACACTGGGAGCTAGCAAATTTACTGTACCATGGTGAGCTTTCACGTTAGAAAGTGATGTGACAGGCTGATTAGAAATAGCTTTACAAGGCAAATGGAGACACATTGCAAAGCAATGCTAATGCACTGCGCTTGAACCCAACCACAGACACATGTTCAAATATGACAGGTTCTTCTTAGAAGCTCCCTGCAATTCTCTGAAGGCTTTGTACCCTTATGCTTTACACTTGTATAAGGCTAAGAAAGAAAAGTCTGCCTGAGCCTTTTGCAATTCTGAAAGAATCTTTCTAAGACGCTGTCTTGACTCAGCATCAGAAGACTTTTTGTAGCAAGATATGATTCTGGTAAATTCTAAAGGGGATAAATTGATGTCAGTGGTCTGTCTCATCATGCAGATTTTACGTTTGTGCTCTATTCTCAAATCAGCAAAAAGAACTGCTTGATTCTCTTTTCCTACTGGAAGTCCTAGAAAGAGCTGAGCTGCATGTTAACTACTGTTGCGGTTTACTGTAACCGAGACAGGAATCTGAACATGGAGCCTTGCCAGCAAAGCTCTGAGCATGAAAAAGAACCCAAGCCCTATTAAAAACTGCTCTATCTGTAGTACTGTGTGGGATATAGGTGGATATGGAAACTTTATGGCATCAGCCATTTGTCCTTTCAATTAACAACCACTCGTCATCTCCCTTCGAATGCTGTGTGAAAGTACAGCAGGAGCATTATGCTGAAGAGTCACCCTGCAATTGAAGGAGATCTATGCTAAAACATCTGTTTATCACAAACTGCAGATTCCAGGCACGTGTTCCATTCCTGGGATCCAGATAATTTTGGTAGCACTCATTCTTTTCTCACTCCTTTTACAACATGGCTTTTTTCCATGTTGTAAAAGGCGCTGCTCTTTCATTCCCCCCGTCTTATAAACCTCCCTTATTCTTCTCATGCTTTTAAATGGGTCTCCCTGGGTCACCCTTGTCATTAAGTTCCCTTTTGTCATAATGTACTGTACAGCCTCCCTCAAGTCTGTCTCGGTGTCATTAGTAACTGTTTGGCTTTGTCAGTCATCCATCTTCATCAGTCATGAATCCTTGACTTTACGAAGTGCTCTTGAAAAGCATGCTTTGTTTATTGCCCAATAAATGCCTCCTTCCTTGGCTCAGTGTCAGCTCACTCTCTCAGCTGACAATTCCAATTTGGAAAGAAATCTTAGACAGTTGCTCGATTTTTATTATTTTTTTTCTATCCATATGCCCTACCTCTTCTTTCTGGCTCTCCCATTTCAGATCCAACTACTATGTTCCAGAGGCACAGGCTCCTACAGGAGATGGATGCAATCAATGACCTGGACTTCTTTGGTCCTCTTCCTGAGCCCTCTGCAACAGGTACAGCACACACTGCACCATTTGGGGTGGGAGAGCGAGCTCTCTGGATGCTCTCTCATTAATGGAGAGGAGGACTACAATAAAAGGTTCTTACATGAGATTGCTAAGAGTTCTAGTAGTGGTTTACTATTTTTGATAATGCGCTGATGTCACAATGTTCCAGATTGCTTTGTTCTCTTTATTTCTGCTTTGTCTTTTTTATATCGGTACAAGACTATAAAAAGTGAAAGGTGAAAATCTAAAACAGGCCTTCTCTTTGAATTTTTGACGCTAAGAGACTTGTCAAATGTATGCGAAAGTGCATTGGTTGCAAGCAGAGTTTTTTTATATTTTCTAATAGTCTCTCAGGTCTTGCACACAGCATGTCAGCCTCTTCAGGGCCAAAATTGTTGCTTTTTCCCAAAGGAGAGATCTTGCCTGTAACTCTGTGTGTCTGTGATGTGGCGTGTAGATCAAAGTGATGCCTGTGCTTTAACTCCTTGCTCTTTCCTGCTTGTCCTCAGAAGTGTCCTCCATGTCATGGTGGTTTACTTCCTGTGGTGCCAGTGGCCCCCGGGGGCCCACACAGGCTCAATGCGACAGTGCCTACCGCAACACCAACGTCAGCATCACTGTGGGCAAGGACGGGCCACTGAAGGGTGTGCAGATGTGGAGGGTGCCAGCTACAAACCGATACCTGTAGGTACATTAGAATCTCAATCAGGCACTGCCATCTGTGGAACATTTAGTGTCAGGAGCGAAAGCATGTGGCAAGCATTGTGAATGAATGTACTGTAGGAGGGAACAGACCCTTAAGCTTCAAAAGGAGGATCAAGGAAATGGTAATTGTGCTGTGCTGTTAGCCATATTAAGCACCGTAGCATTGAAAATCATTGTCATTGATGTCTACTTTCCCCAGGACAATGGCATCAATTGCACCTAAACAGCAAATGTACAGTAGTTGAATAAATTTGCAGTCGAATAGCCCAGTAAGGTTTGTTTGGAAAGGAAGTTGCAAAGGTCAAAGATAGTATTCATTAGATTGTGAAAACGTATATACAGTAGTTAAAGGCCTATAGATCCTCCTAATTTGTTATAATTTATACTACACAGTATACATACTGTATTACTGGGCTTTAATGAATTAAATCGTTCTTCATTCTATACCAAGTCTTACAGTACCTTCATTATTTAGTATTCATTAGATTGTGAAAACGTATATACAGTAGTTAAAGGCCTATAGATCCTCCTAATTTGTTATAATTTATACTACACAGTATACATATTACTGGGCTTTAATGAATTAAATAGTTCTTCATTCTATACCAAGTCTTACAGTATCTTCATTATTTAGTATTGTGTGTGAAGCACAAAAATAATGCAGCTTTGAGACTCGTTGCGAGGGCTATGTATCACCATACTTGAAGAGTTTACAGTTGTCTGCACTCAAACTGAAGTAGCTCCAAGTTCATCTTTCACGAAGACAGTGGCATACCACAATAATTCCTAGGAGTTCCCAACTAGCAAGAATCTTCGTGTAAAGCCCTTCGAATCACTGCAACCCCAATGGATTTAAAACTAAATGAATTCTTTTCAGGTTGTGAAAATTAATAGAAATCCTAGAAGTGAGTGATTTTGCAAGAGTTTGACCACGACAAGATTCCTGTAGGAAAGTACTTTTCAAGGGTGAATTCTTATGGACACGGGATATTTAAATCCCGATGGTGTTTACCTCACAAGTTGCGAGTATGGAACAATTAACTGGCCATGTTTTTTAAATTGATCTGGATGCTCAGATAGTTTAGCAGCTACCAACTAGACTAGATGGGCTGAATAGCCTGCTCTTGTTTGTAACCTTTCAGAGACTGATTTTGAATAAATTCAAAGTCAGCTAGAAACTGTGTCTCAGGATGCTATGGTCAGTCCATTCTCCATGGTCATGGAGATGTCATACTGGTTCAGTGTGCTTTTAGCTCTAAGCAGTGGATCTAATTTTATATAATTTTACTACACACAAAAATGGAATCGAGAAGAATTACCAGTGTCTGCAGATACAGTTTTTGATTATTTCTCTTTCCTCATTGTTCATAACCTCCTGGACAAATTGCTGACCAAATGGTCTTGCCAAATTACCCAATATATGGGCTTTTGTGTGTCTTTTTTTATCAGTAATTCTTTACATAGCTGCCAGTTATAATGTGTGGCTTTTAAAATAGGAATTAAAATGTAGACTAATTAAAGATGTATAAGTAATAAAAATAAAATTCTTAGGAGCTGAAGCAAAGGCAGTACGTGGTGAGGTAATTCATACTTTCATTTTGTCATATTTATTGTTGCCTTATTTAAGCAACCAGCTGTATGTGGTATTCCTAACTTATTCATATTCTTTTCATGTACAGTGCCTATTATGCTGTATATGCAGTATAGATACTGATAAAAAGGCTTCTGGAGGGAATAAATGTATGAAAAGTTGTCAGTGGGACAAACTCAGACACCATTGTGGTCCCCACTTCAAAATGGTAGGGATCTGTAATCTGATGCTGCCCTGTATCCTCTGGCATTCATCAGAGTCACTGTGCCATTGCATCCTCTTACTCCGAGCTCTGTCTTCACACTCCTCTGTGTTTCAGGATCTCTGCCTATGGTGCGGCAGGGGGAAAGGGAGCCAAGAACCACAACAAGCGCTCGCACGGGGTCTTCATCTCCGCTGTCTTCCCCCTGGAGAAGGGTGACATCCTGTACATTCTGGTGGGACAGCAAGGAGAGGACGCCTGTCCAGCGGTAATTAAGGACCAGGATGGGGAAGAGGCACAATTCTGCCACACAAAAGAATACCACTCATACTGGTGCCGCAGACTAGACAATTAAGAAGTCTTGTACGATGTCTGACAGTTCCTTTTCTCATTTTGTTATGACTACAAGTGTTTAAAAAGCTTCTTTGTTGAGATTTACCACAGATCTCTGCAGGGCTAATGTGAAAATTAGGGTTTAAAAATGGATATTGTGGTCCTCTTTTCTTTGTTTTCATGAAATGCTGTTCAGAAAGCCTTTCATGAGACATAAAACAAGCAGAAAATTAGCAGATTTTACTTTGTACTGTGTACAAACAAATTGCAATTGTTTTCTAAAAACAAGATAACAATGCCGCAGGTCGTTTTGCAGGTCATAGGTAGAGAAGTCTTGGATCTTAGATGTTGAGTGACTGATTCATCGCTGTTTCCAAACAACCCTATTTCTATTTGCCTGTGTCTTGTCAGCGGAATCCTCTGACCCAGCAGGTGTGTCTGGGGGAGTCGTCCGTGATTGAAGATGACCATTTCAGTGGGGGCAGCACTGTGCGGGAATGGGCAGGAGGAGGGGGTGGAGGCGGTGGGGCAACATATATATTTAAGGTAAGACATGTCTGTGGCTATTATGATAAGACATAGATGGGCCATTTGTAACCTTTCTTATGTTTTTCCTGACCATTTCTGAGTTATTGGAGCTGTGCTAAGAATGCATTTTTTAACTATTCCATCTTACAATCTGCAGCCATAAAGAAATGTATAAAGGTTAGATCTTTTAGTGATCCAGAAAAAAAGCCCATCACTGCAAGTCTTGATTGTCATGACTTCTCTTGATAGGAATTTTACAGATCAGAGAATGATTGTGCAGCACCAGTTGGAAAAAGCCCATTCATTCATACTATATGCCACAGTTGTTGCTATTAGGTAATCCCTCCAAATCTTTGCCAAAGTCCTCAGGTGTTTGATGCTTGAATACCTTCTAGTCTTCTCTATTCAAGACCAGGAATCTAGGATTCAAGAAAGAGGAATTTTTCATTTAACTATGCAGGACACCTGCACAGCCCAGGGAATGTTCCTATTTTTAACCAATTTTAAAGCAGAAAAAACATTTTTGAAACCTGGAGAAAAAACTGTAACTGCACAATCTTTTAATAAGCTCTTACTATTGTACAATTTTAACACATTTTCACATAATTTAAATGTTTTTTAACGTCTTACTGTATATTCAACATTTTGTGTGGGTGTTTTCACAGGAGGAAAACTATCCCTGTGAAAATTCTGCTAATTACAGTATTCCAATTTAAACTCCAACCTTTACATGTAGTTTGTGTTTTCTATTAATTGCCCAGCTCTCAACTTAAAGCATTAACTGCATGTATATCTATGTAACATTTTTTTCAATGCAAAAATTGATCATTAATGTGGAGTTTTATCAAAAGCCTTTCGAACACCTAAATATATCATATGTTCTGCATCTGTGGATCTGCCGTTGTGTCTGTTTAAGCTTTTCCAAATCCTTCCGAATCCTATTCCCATACAAGTTGGTCCTCATACAATTGTTTTCGAGGTGGATGATTAAAGTGAGTGTTGCGCCAGTTTCTCTGGTCACTCTATTTTACGCTGTGCTTTGACTCTGTGCTTTTGAAATCTTAGTCCGTCTGTGCGAGCAGCATCCGCCAGTGACGGCATGCTCCTCTTCCTGCAGATGGAGAACGGCGAACACGTCCCCCTGCTCATTGCAGCTGGGGGGGGAGGCAAGGCCTACATGGAGGACCCTGAGAGCAGCCTGGACCACATCCCCCTGGAGCAGTATGAAAATGACACGACGACATCTGGAGCCAATGGCAGAACCTCTGTCGCAGGTGACCTCTCCTTCCTGCCCCTGCGGTCACTGGCCCTGTGCCCTCCGAGGGCGGCTTTGTGCTTTGGCAACACCTAGCGTGGTTAGGAAACACTCCATCGTTGAAGATCCACCTAGACGCAGAGCAAATGATCATTTTCTTTGCGCAGGAAGTTGTTTGAGGTTATTAAGGAGCAGAAAGAGTGAGGGAAGGAATACATTTGTCACATTTTCAAATGCGCAAACACTTGACTGTTGAAAGTAATGCAGGGTGAGTTTTACCTCAAATGCATTATTCGAGTTTGAGCTGTATGTGGAGAAAGAAATTAGCTCAAGGGCTGATATTGTGGGGTTTTTTTGTGTGTGTGTGCTCTGCAGGTGGAGGCGGAGGCTGGAAGGATGTGACCAAATACTTGTGGGGTGGCAGGTCTCTCCTGGAAGGAGCTGAAGGGGGATCATCATGCCCCCAGGCCCTCTCAAAACTGGCCTGGGCAACTTTTGGGGGGTTTGGAGGTGGAGGAGGTGCCTGTACTGCCGGAGGGGGTGGTGGTGGATATAGAGGTACATTCTGAAACAGATCAAGCATTACCATCTATTTCTTCAACCTTCTTTGTCTGTTTTAGTCTTATTTTCTATAGCTTGTATTTTACTGTAATTCAGATCCACAGAGCATCCATGTGGCATGATATAAGGATGGTTAGTGCTGCCTCACAGCTCTTGGGTCCTGCGTTGATTACCAAATCACTATACCTTCTGTGCGGAGGTTGTGTGATCTCCTCCATTTGCAATGGTTTGCTCTTCCACCATCCAAAGACATGATGTCTAGGTTAATGATGTCTTAGATTCCTCTGCCTTGTCCCTGTGTGTGTGCAATTGTCCTGTGGTGGACTGGTGTCCTGTCCAGGATGTATTGTACTGTTTTTATGGGATAAAACTTATAAGTCTAGGATAAGCTGCACAAAAACAAGTGAAGCTCTATGAGGATTTGAATATTCATCCATCTATTATCAGAAAGCCAGAGTTGACAGCCTTTTCAAAAATGTTGCTGGGGTGAAATGCTTACTGATGTACAGTATTGTATTTTTCCTGAATTGCTGTAAAGCATATGGAAAATGTCTAGAATTCATATTGAAGACTCGCTTGAGAGATCTTTTGGATTAGCTGTAACCACAGTGACTATAACCACATGTTTTTCCTCTATTGTGTGTGATTTAAAATGATATTTAACATTTGACTTTGTCAAAGATAGAACAGACACACCTCTATCTACTCTGTCTTTTTGTTCTTGGCAGCCAGTGAGGAAATTCTATAAGAAACATTGCCAGTAAATTTTTCTCCTGGAAGGATATGATGTCTGGCAGAATTCTGCTTCTCTAGCTCTAATGCGATATACTAAAACTGGATCTGATATTGGTGTTAGACAAATAATTGATTAGAATGATGGCACTTTACATAACACAACAAGTCAAACGATATTGCCACATTACAAGTATGCATATTTTAATGTTAATATATACAGTAAGAAATCTGAAATATATATAAGAATGATATGTGGTCATATTTTAGAATACAGAGAACAAAATCGTTTATCAGTCAAGCTTTGTTCTGATCAATCTTTTCCATCGCCTTCTGAAATACACTGCTTTGACTCTGCTTTAATGTGCCTCACCTTCATCTTCATCCCTCTGCGCCTCAGGAGGCGATGCTGCTCCTACTGATGACATCACGGCAGATGGCCAGGACGGAATTTCGTTTGTGAACCCCATTGGAGAGATGTACCTCCAGCCTCTGGCAGGTATGGGAGCAGCCCAGCCGAGCTCCTGAGAGCAGCAGGAGAGTTGTTTTACCAGGTCCACACAAGACGCTGCAGTACAAGTGGCAGGAGCTGGGCGGTGCAAATATTTTTCTTCTGTAGAAATCCGGACAGGAGGTTTTCAAATGCTTTTATTTTTTTAAACATTAGGGCATTTTCTTATTTAAGAAAACATTGTAACCATGAAAGTGCTTTCATACTGTAAGTGTAATATGACAAAAGGGAAACAAGAAGGATGCAGAAGAGTTAGACAGGAGAGGTCATTCAGTCCATGAAGCCTATCTGGTAGGCACAAGCTACTTAGCAATGTTGTTTAGGCTGATACCCCAGATTCCTTCAAGAAACAGCTGGATCCTTTGATCCTTGGATCGATTTACTACTTCCAACAGGCCCAAAGGTCAGCTCTCGGCTGCAACTGCTCCTTTGTTCTTAAGATGAATGCCACTGACTGAGTACAGTATGAGCCCTGCAATAACACTCTAATTGTTTGCTTGCTACTGTATATACTTTTAACCAAACGTTTTAATGCACAGTAGTCTAATGGCTGGATCTAACTGTTTTGCTGTGAAAATTTTACAGTCATGCCTCCAGCACGTCATTTAGAAGTCTTTATTCCTAAAGGACAGAAGAAAAGCGTTTTTTTAACAATGCAACATGACTTTTCTGTAACTCACAGGCACAGATGTTACCAGTGTGACCATCTCTGAGCCTGTGTTGTAATTCTCTTCCCCCTCACCAGCGATGGAGAGTCATGGTGAAGCAGAGATCAAGGTGCAGCTGAACTGCAGCCATTGCCAGTCGGAGAGCTGCAAACGGGATGAAGACACCAAGCTTATTCTGTGCCTCTGTCACAATGATGAAGTGCTAGCCAGTGACAACGTCACCTGCACAGGTGAGGTGATGCCTATTGCAGAAGCTTAACCTATTCTTCTTCCCTGCTTCACCCACAATATACTCCTCCACAGACCTATTTCAGACAGCAGTGCTGCATCTCTCATCTAGACCATCATCAGTTGTGCTCTTTGTGTTTTCTCCTGTGTGAAGTGTGGAACGCTTAAATTACTCCTTTGCTACAGTATAAATGCTTCATCCTGTTTAAATTAGACATTTTAGTCAGCAGGCAGAAAAGCTGCTTCCCTATGGTAAAAAAAAATCTTTGGTATGAACCAGTAGAGTTTTCAAAAGTAAGAATTCCTAAATTATTCTTACTCTAGCTAGATTTCAGAATTGCATGTTTAACAAAAATAAGATCATTGGCTTTTCACAGTCATTCCAGCAAATGTCCCTAGTAATCATCTCTTGTGTAATACAGTAAATTGTATATTGTATTTAATTTAAAGTGCAATATAGCCAAGAATACAATATAGTTTGAATATTAGTTTTATTTTAATATTTCTTTTATAAAATGAAAGAAGAAGTCCATGCATATGGACAGAGTTGTAACAGAAGTGTAATTGCAGTCATGAATGTTGTTTTTTATGATTTTATTGGGTATCCAGTAATCTTTTGGGGGGCTGGACCTTGCTGATCTTCTGCCTCTGTCCCACAGCTCCACGAGGGCCTGCCCCAGAGGGACATCTCTCCCTGCCCCTCATCCTGGTTGTGGTGGTATCCACTGTGGTGACGGGTATCGTCTTGGCCTGTGCCAGCCTCACGCTCAGTAAGAGACTCTACCAGCTCTGTATGCGCTCTGTGCCCTCTGTGCCAAACTTCCACCGCCTCTGAGGGCCACAGTGGCAGGCATCCTGAGCCCAGCGACACTTACATTCCCTTGGCAGCCTAGGGTCAGCACCCATCAACTGATACCCACTGCCATTTTATGAATGTTTGGTTTTCAGCCTATGATACTCGAATGCTGGAGGTTGCTGTGTGGTTGCCAGGTGGCAACTAATGCTTAGGATATTGTACCTACTGGCCCAGTGAAATAGAACTGAAACAACATACACATGCTGCTGCTTTTGCAATTCAACAGATCATTGTGGTCTATTGCAATGGAAAAAGGGAAGTACAGACTGTGAGGTAGCTGTACAGTATGTCTTTTTTGTCACACAAATATCTCCCACGTTCGTGCTGCATTTGTATAAGAGCCAGGGGTTTAAAGCATTTTCTTTTTTTGTTGTGCCTAATACTACATGACAGCTCCTGTAGTGTGTCTTTATGTGCAAGGCATATAGGGTGCTGCAGGATAGTGTAAATCGTAAGTGGAACTCAAAGTAAGTGGACAAAATAATAATTTATTATTATAGTGACACAGGGTGGGTTTCATAGCTTGGCAACTTAACTACCTAGTGTCCCTGTGCCTTGTAGCAGCCTTAAGTTACCTGTCCCAAACAAAGGTTGTTATTTCAGTTCTGAATTTTGCTGGGTAATTGCTCTGCATTGTTCTTTGAATTTTGGACACATTTCAGCTTATGGATAATTCCCCTTGTAGCCAACAAAGGCACTGTATATTCTTGTCTTCATACCCTGTGAGTTAAAGTTTAAGCTGAAGTCTGAACATGCCACTTTTTCACTGTTTCTACACCACTTTTGGTTGTGGTTTCATACTCGGCAGGAGTACGGTATGGTGAAAAAGTAACTAAACCTCTTTGAAAGGTCAATTTTAACGTATTTAGACATACCTTCACCTCTTCCTTGCCAAGTCCTAATAGGTGATGAAACTGACTGCATTGGACAAATAACACACATTGGACAAATCATTTAGAAAAATCAGCCAGTATTCATTCATCTTTGTGGTAAGAAAGTAAGTGCACCCCTTGACTCAGTAGCTTGTGGCACCCCTTTAGCACAGTTACCAAATGAAACATTTCCTGTTTAATCTCTCAAGCAGGTACTAACTGTGAGAACAGTGAAATGGTGGAAGCACAAGATGTTTTCATGTCACCTGTGTTTTTGCTCAATCCCTGAATTTGAGAAAAATGCAGTGACAGAAATACAGTTGGCTTTGGGCAATACTTCATACAGCTGCAGCAATTCTCAAAATTAAAAGATAAAAAAAAGACTGATAAAATTATGACATTCTACAGTCAACAGTTTCTACTCCGTTGTCAAGTTTCTACAGAGATCACAGTCCTTGTTTGTCAGTCACCTATTAAATAACGTTTATGTAGAGCTAAACGTTCTTTACTTTAAAATCACTGTCATTAAAAGTGCACACTAAAAGCAGATCATTATCCTTGAAGTTTTACACCTAGTAACCTGATCCAAAAAGAATATACAGTATACTATAATTAACTTTGCTAAAACCTGTGACGAGACATCCTTAAGGAATTAGAAAATTCTGGATCAAAATTACTCTTTTCAAAACATCAGTATCGGTATCAGTATCAGTCTTATGTACGAAGCACAAAAGAGACCAGGAACAATTAAATTAATTTTACAGAAATGTTGGAAATTATAATATCTTATAATTCATATTGTATACAATATATAAATTATGTATAAAATCATGTTATGGTTAATATGACATTATAATTTAACTTCCCAATATATTTATATTCATAATCATTTATGTTTATGCATGTTTGCATTTAGAAAGAGATAGTACAAACAAGTCATAATAATAATGAATTATTAGTAGTAGTGCAGCCTAAATAAACAAAACACTGGCATGTAATGATACATTTTGCATCTTCCCCACCCAAATAGAATATTGCCTCTCTTCAGCTGTGGAAAACATTCATGACTTCCTCTGCAATGTTAGCATCCTATCTTCTTTTCCCCCAATATGATTCTCTTCTCCCTGATCTTAGGCCAATAACACTATAAATACAGTACGTGTGCACAGTACAGAGCAATATTGACAAGCTGCTGGATTTAGCTGACAGATGACATAGCCAAGTTCAACAAAGTTAGTCTTCCTTTGAGAGAAAGACCTCATTTTGCAGTTGACTGTGCTTGAGGGTATGCTTTGGATATGGAAGCATGTGAGTTGGAGATCTGTAGGCATCCTTCATACCGCAACGGAAAATCCTGCGATAATGAGACATTCATTGTATTGCATCAGAAATTCCTTGCTGAGATTAGACCACAGAGCCCAAATTTACATAAATTTAAAATGAAAGACAGAATAAAATATTGTAAAACCATTGTTCTAAAAACATAGGGTCATGCTAAGACAGACAAAGTCTAGCATGTAGTCGGACTCACAGTCAGTCACTCTCAACAGCTACTAGCCTGTCCTGGAGGCAGACAGGACCTTTAACTGTGTGGGTTCAATTTAGAAAATTATAGCCTTCTAATTCACAGATTGAGTCTCACAGACTCACTCTAGAGTAAACTTGCTTCTTTTTGGGAATTGGGAAGCATTCAGTAAAAACCTGTTTGTAAAATATGCTAGGGTTTTCAAACTGTAATACATGAACCAAGATCCATTCTAGAACTTGTGAGAATGCTAGAGTTTGAACTTGGTTGGTGTTTTTTTTTTTAACTGATGATGGAGATCAAACCCCATGGTAAAGAAAAGACAAAGTTGTATTTCTAGTCACATGTAATTCATATCACATTAATTTTAAATTAAGCCTGACCTATGGCTAAAGGAAATGAGAAAAAGTTAACATGATTTCACTAAACTGTGTTCAAAAACACAGTCTCAGCCATGACAGGGAAGATTATTGCTATTCACATGAGTGGTGTGCTTTTATTTGTAGAACAAAAACATTATCTCTCATTAGGTTATTTATTGTATATTAAGAGCCTTCTGATTGTTAGGTAAAATTTTTAGAAGAGTTTAATATGGTAAGTGGTCTGCCAAGACACTCAGCAACTGAAGAAGTCCATGAAATAACAGTATGAGAGCCAACACTCTTTTAAAGTATTTTATGTTAAAACCAACATAATTTTCACGGCAAATGTACTTCATAAAAGTGTATTGTTGTCTGTGATTTCTCATAAAACAACCATCTTGAAAAGTAGTGATGTTGGGAAGTTAGGACTTGAGTAGACACTAACCCCTTTCAGAAATGAATCTCCTATACATTACCTCGCTTCTTTCTGTGATTAGGTGGAAATCTGAGCCCTTTACGCAGTGTGTCTGGGATTTTACCTTCCTGTTTACTTGTACAGCGAGGACTTGGAAGTGTCATGACCGTCATGAGATTGACAACGCAGATACAAAGAGCCACAACTGCGCATTTTGAAATTATCTAGAATCTGGTTCCCAAGAACTAAGTCTAATGAGCAAACACAGTAGGTGTAATAGGTGTATTACTTCTCTAATTGCTGCTTCAAAACTATTGTTGCCTAGTGACCAGACTCTCTTTACAAAGTATTTTAAACTGTCTGCTGTGTTTTGTAATACAATTTTACAGATTTCGATATTGTACAGTGCAAAAGACAAATATAAGACACAGCCAAGCTGGAACATTTCTACATACAGTATAAGTCCCATTGGTAGATTTCCATCCGATCATTTCATCAGGTAGTGCTGCTGTATCTTTAAACCTACAGTACTTGGCCAATCTTATAATACTTGGTGGTGTTCAATGTAAGGTGACCTCACTTTCACTTTGCTTGTTGTTTACCCATGCTCATTTATGTTTTATGTAAAGGAACAAGTAAAGGATTATTCCTTGCTTAAAAGAGAGAAAAATAAACATGTTTCGGCTCTGGAGCCTTCCTCAGGTGTGGAATTCTGGTTAAGTGAGAGAAGTAGCCCAGGGAAGAGGAGATGGAATGACAAAGATTTAGAGGAAGGCATAGGGGGTCGCAGCAGAAGTCGGCTGAAGTAGTTCAAGTAGGTGGCTGAGTTAGCATGCGTGGACTGCAATGGAACAATTACCTGTAAAGGTTTATTTCATGCTGAAAAGTGAAGAAAAGAAACACAACATTTTAGCTGTGGAGCCTTTTTTGGGGGTGTGTTTTATGTAGTCTTCTTTGTTCAGGGAATTTTGTCTGGCAAGTCTGAGTGGAATTCCTGGTAAAGGATTTTGTGAATGGGGATGGTCTGCTTTTTATAACTTAGTTAAAGTTAATTATCCTTGAAAACCTTAAATCAGAGGCTCTGAACTGTGGTTTTCTTTAAGTTGGAAAACGAGAATATTTGCAATATCATTACCGATTTCATGCCAAGAGTTGTGCAAAATGAAATGTCTGCTTGATTCTTTTTAAATAATGTAATAAAGAACAGTCAAAAACACAATTTCCAGACATGTTCTGTGGTTAATCGAGCAGATGGACATTTTTGTATTGTACTGTAGACCTGTCCATGTTGAAAAGATTATGTACATTTTTAACACATCTAACAAACAATAAAGTTGTAGCAAATGTTTTTAAAACACTGTGACCTGCCATATAATTTATTGTATAAATGTTTCCTGTGTTTCAGTGCAGCGAGGATACTAACATTCTCATTAGCCTCAGCTGCAGTCCCATGGAACTTATTATTCAACATCTTTTTTATTTCTGAGTCACTGAGCCGTGCTGAGCAAAACTTGCCTTCAATCAAGTGAAATCTTCTCACATTAAAGCTAAACGCTATTGTCACGGAAAGTTATTTTCCTTTAAATTTACTCTTAGTAAAGACAACGCTTTGTGCGCAATTATCCATACTGAAGTCAGTGACCGAAGTCACTTACCTGTGACTCTTAGGTTCTAAAAATAATCTGTTGTCAAACTAGCTAAAAGAAACAAAGGTCTCTGTGGCAACCCAGAGATATGACAGCACAGTTTGAAATTGTTGGAAAGTTCATTATACACTTACAATTGTCTGTGTTCCTTTTTCAAATAGAGGTGTTAACCATGGTGTTTTGAAAAAATTCCCTTCCCAGTTCTTGAAGACTGGCTTTCCTATAGTTCTTCTTTTATTCAGATGGTAAAGCATTCTTATTTTTTGCTCTGGTGACTAATGGCTACCAAAAAACGCCCAGGTGGGTAAATGAAGCAAGTACTCTACCATAAGTAAATTGCTGGGAAATTCTAAGAGATGAAAAGGTGTATAGAAAAGAAAAGAATTAAATCATAATTATTAATTTGTTTCCTGTATCAGGTGAGTTTTTCTACTTGCACATCAAAGCGGTTCTTGCTACATTTACAATGGAAATAGACTTCTCTGTTCCTGGCTCTAGGGGGTTCTGATGTGAAAGAAGTCCACAACTCCAGTGGCTACACATGCTCCGGTGTATTGCCTGGCCCTAGTCCTGGTCCCAGGTCCTCCGGGAGACCCGATATCAGGTTAACAGTGTCTCTTCATCTAAGGTTTCCCCCATGCAGGTTGGTAGTCTGTGCCAGGGGCCCAGCCGAGTGTGTCCGCCCCTTCTCTCTAGGGCCTGCAGCCTGAGGACACAGGGATGCTGGCGCCCAAAGCCCTGACCATCATGCAGCGCCACCCCCAGGCAGACTACCAACCTGCATCGGGGATCTGGCACACCGCAGCTCCACTGAGGGTGAGTCTGCTGGAGCAATGGCCTTTGGTCTTAGGGGTATCAGGCTGGAAGTTATTATCGGGGCTGCTTGACATAAAAATCACTCAGCAGTACGGTGATCTTCAGCTCTGGGCCTCAGAGCTGCAATCCAGGTTTTACAGGTCTCTTTATCATTATCTGCACATGGTGTAAATTAGTCCAGTTAAGTAAATGAGTTCAATTACATACCCGAAATGTCACATGTAATGAGATCCAGAAAGTCCTCTAACTCTCAAAGAATAGAGGTGAGAATTAGTTCACTAATGGATATTGAAACACCTCTTGCTGAGACTATACACCAGTACTATTGTGAGCGTTTTGGTGTCATTTATTTCACAACCCAAATTGCTAACATTTCTGGGGAAAAAAAAACACATATTGGATTCTGTTATATCGTTGTTGAACAAGACTGTTCTGAATTAGTAATTAGTCTTAGATGTTTTGCAGCCTTTTTCCTCAGGAAAAAGAACATCTGTCATCTTTCATGCCATATCAATGTTGTCATTTCAGAGTTGTAGTATAAAAGATGTATCTCCCACTCCCTTCTGTCCCTCTCATCTCTGTGGCTCTGCAGTTTACTACCGCAAGAAGACCCAGCTGCAGGCAGTGCGCGTGCGCCTGCAGAGCCCCGAATACAAGCTCAGCAAGATCCGTGCATCCACCATCATGACCGACTACAACCCCAACTACTGCTTCGCCGGCAAGGCCGCGTCCCTCAGCGACCTGAAGGAGGTGCCGCGCAAGAACATCTCTCTGCTCAGGTACCCCGGCAGAACCAAAATGGAGGATTAGTGCACGTACACTACAGTATTACAATACTGTACAGTGCTAAGTACTCTGATTTCCGGTCAGATTTATATAACACCAGAAATGAATTCTACATTTTACTGCCTTTTTTAAAACTTCACCACATTGTCAAGATGAGGACAATGAGGAGGCTACAAAGACATGGAGTGTTCAAACCCACTTTCCCAAACTTTAATCCAGCAATTTTGTATTTAATTTTGTTGGTAATGCACATTCTTGAAACCTGGGTCTAATACTTCTCAGTTCCTTGTCTTCGAGCTTTTTTTATTTGTGTGTGTTTGTCTGCCAGGTACAGGATAGTATCTAAGTTCTATTATGATACTCTTGCTGCTTTGTGTTAGCTTGTCTATCTATTTTTGCCTTATCTGTAAAATCTTATAAGTTTGTCAACTGTACTACAATCTAGATCATTTATGTAAATCAGAAGAAGAACTGGGCCTTAAACAGAACATTGTGGTACTACACTAATCACATCAGTTGAACATGACTTATTTCACTTACATCTGTCCATCAAATAGTTTCCTGTTGCTTTCATATTGAAGGCTTTAGTTTATAGCCAATGCTATAATAACCTGGTTAAATAAAAGTAGAATGTCTGTTTATTAATACCTTTCCTTTCAAATTCCATGCTGACTACTCGTGATAACATTTGGTAATAAAAACAGAAATTACTTGTTCGTAGATAGTGCTGCTGATTACCCTGTCTCTCCCAACCTCTTTCTCTCCCTGACTGGTGCTCAGAGCTCTGGGACATGGTGCATTTGGAGAAGTGTATGAGGGTCAGGTCTTGGGTATTGCTGGGGAGAGTGGACCCCTGCAGGTTGCTGTCAAGGTGAGCTCACTAGGGCATTGTTTGAGAAACCAGTAGACAGGATTATGGGCAGAACATGGAAGTGTTTTGTATCAAAAGTGCAGATGTAGGTAGAAACATAATCCAAATACTGTTTTAAAAGCACATACTATACAAGTAGTACAAAGAGATCATATGATTGTGAATATATGCATTATACAGTAGATTCATACCCTGACCTGGCAAAATCTTTACAGTATAATACTGTACTTTCAAGTGGGAATGGCATTAGACATGCTACAGTACCAATCTGAACTCTAAGTCTCAGTGGTAAGAACAAATCTTTACCAATGGGCTCACATATTCAATAATCCCATATTCCCTGCTCAGCCTGACTCTTTTGTATGCAGAGAAGGACACGGGAATTCAGAGGTTATTCAACTCTTACTTCATGAGGTTTAATGGTTCTCCACTTGTGATGAGCACAACATTTCTTAGCTTCAGTAAAAAAAACTGGATATCCTAATCAATTCCAAAGTTAAGATTCTATCAATGGAGGTATATACTGTATTAATAGATGTAATTACAAATGTTTCTTGCAGGATTTCTAATTTTCTTTAGACTGAATTTATTCTCCTCCTGAATTCATTGAAAAAATAATATATTTTTATACTTTTGATCTCTAGACTCTACCTGAGATCTGTTCAGAACAGGATGAGATGGACTTCCTGATGGAGGCTCTGATAATGAGGTCAGTTAGACTGGATAGGTGATCACACAAAGCGCTTCTCTGCCCCCACTGTATTAATTTAATAAGAAACTAATAGATTACACAAACTAGAAGTGAGAATCTTTTGCTGTGTTCCACCAAATCTCTGTATTTCCCTAGACCAGTGATGCTCACCCTTGCAGGGTCTTTACGTTATTCTGCCTGAGCTCCTAATCACTTACTGTAATTTAATCATTTATTGTCTTAAACGATCTGCTATCAGCTACAGGTGTTTCCAAGTCTTCAGTCATTGTTGTTCACCAGGATTAATTATTAAGTGTTATCTACAGTACACAGACTTTGTTTTCCAGTTCTGCACATGAGAAGTGGTTAAAAGTTGCTTTTGAAAATATTGTTGCTTGATACTGAGCTTACCTGTTGCTGTGCCTGCAGTAAGTTCAACCACCAGAACATCGTTCGCTGCATTGGTGTTAGTCTGCAGACATTGCCTCGTTTCATCCTGCTGGAGCTCATGACTGGAGGAGACATGAAGACCTTCCTGAGACAGAACCGCCCCAAGTCGGTGAGTGTCTTCCACTGGCCCCCTGATGCAGCCTTGTCACGATCCCAGCTGGGGCCTGGGCTTCAGGCGTTACCTCAGGACATTCCTTGTTTGCCATGTAACTTTCCCCACAGATATCTGACGTCTCCACTGATGTTTTGTGATTTGTTATATAATTATGCAACCAGTGTAATGCCCAAAGGAGAAAGGGTCGATGAATATGTGATTAAAGCTAGTGCTTTCAGGGACACGGTAAGGAGAAATAGCCAGACATTCATTTAAAAAGAAGAGAATGATCATGATGGAAAACGTTTGCTACACCTAACTTACATTACTCTTACCTGTACTGGACAGTACAAGATAACATACATCCAACTTCCAAACCCTGCACTGTCGCTTCACGTTTTTTCACGGCTCAAGTACTGTACCTCACCACCAACTGCAAAGTTTAGTTACAGATGGATGATAGGTGTGGCTGTTACTATTACCACTGTCAGCGCAAGCTTGCCTTCACCTGGTAACCCATACAGGACATCCTGTATGCAGGAAGACAGTGATACCCTTGACCTTCTCAAACCTGCACACCTCCAGAGCAGCACTCTGCTTTTGCACTTCTGCTTGAGGAATCCTGTTTCACAGTCAGATAATGTCCTGGCCCAGGACTAACCTAGGTGACACCCCGCTGCGTCATCATCTTTACTAGCTGAGCAAAATGGAAACCTCCATCCTATGTGTCATAATAACTGCATGCAACAGTAGAAAGGGGTGGTGGTGGGGGTGAACTATGAAAGAATACAGTTTAGTTTTCCAGAGTGATGGTCGTTTGGCACGGCTGGTGTTAGGGGCCCCAAGCTCATGTTGAAATGGGGTTGCTCTGTGTCATGCAGGGCCAGCAGTCCTCACTCACCATGCTGGAGCTTCTACACATGGCCAGAGATATCGCCTATGGTTGCCGATACCTGGAAGAGAACCACTTCATACACCGGTAAGAGTGATGGTGGCAGGGGTATATGAGAGAGGCAATGAAGAGAGCCATAGAGTCTTTGTAGCATAAAAACTAGTGGCGTTTTAATACTAGTTTCTTAAAATATAGAATTGTAGCTGCCCTACTCATCCTGAAAACACTTTTACTGCTGCTGAACTACCACTCTTCTCCAGCTGCTTCTGCATTCAATTCTGACTGAACTGCGCCAAAGCAATTGCAGCGATCCGCTATGCTCTCGAGGCTGCTCTCCCAGATAAAAGATGAAATTTTACAGTAGATGAGTAGATTGGGAGCTACATTAAAAAATCATGCCTGCATGTGTACTTTGCAGCCAGAGTTTGATGCCTTTCAAGAAGCAGATCAAGAGCGCTGGTAGTGTCAATTAGAAAAAAAAAAGTTTGAAAAGGAAAATCATAAGAGAAATAAAACATCTGGACTGTGGAGGAAGAGCAAAGTTCATTTTTAGGAATGCATTAGGAAAATCAGCACGTACTGTACTTGCAACAACATTATCCACATTTGCAAGTATAACCTTCTATGTAATTAGCTTCCTCATGTAATTTTGAGGCTATTTATAATCCGTAGTGTATGCTATATCAAAGTCAGGAGTTTCACATCAAGAAAGATGATGCTGTAGCTGCAGAAATGTGTTGGTAGGAATTTCAATTTTTATTGTGCAGCTCCATGGTAGCATGTGCCAGTTAGCACTCCTGGCTCACAGTTGGATGGTCCTGGGTTCGAGTCTAGAGTTGGGTACTTTCTCTATAAAATGTGCATTTTTGTTTTGTTTTTTTATCAAGTTGTCCTGTTGCCTTCCAGCTTCCAAAGACAATGTGATTACATTAATTTTCTCTAAATCTTCTTGTATGTGTGAGCCCTGTGATGGACTGCCAGTAGAAGAGGCCACTCAAACACTGTACATACTGAAGTTTAACATTCTTTAAATTTTAAACGGATTTCAGATTTCAAGTGCTTAAGCATTGAGAGATATCATTAGAATCAATTTATATATTGTAAAGATATGTAGTAAGTTTGGTAAATCATGAACAAATGACACTTCACACATTTACAAGCAAGGCTTCTTAAAAAATGAGCTGGCTCTTAATCTGAATGTACTGTCTATACAGTATAGGCTTTTTGATATTTGCTGTCAAAGTACATTACTTGCAAATACATATACTTTGAAGAAAAATTTCTAAGAGATTTAAGGGTTTTATCAGGTTAAGATTTAAGTTTATGTTGTCCAAATTGGGATGTATTACATCCCCCCTCTCCAGTAAAGCTTATGCAGATCCTGTTGTATATCCACATGATACAGTCTCAGGCAGATGTAGCATGTGGCTGCAATCCTGACCACCTGCATTCCCCAAGTGTTCAGCGACTGCAGCACAAATCAGGTGCCTCAGAGAGCTAACGTACTCAGGACGCTGAGGTAGAATGAGATACCTGAACCTGTGAGGAATATAATTTCTGCCACTGGGTGCTACTGTAAGATGTTCCTGAATTCCTGGGTTCACATTTACCATCGATATGTATATATTTCTGCCTACCCCAACAGGGGGCTCAGTGCAGTGAGTGAGCAATGCTCAAGGCTTGTGTAGCTGCACATTAGGAGATGTAAAACCTGCTCTTTGTTTCCCAGCGACATCGCTGCTCGCAATTGTCTGCTTACCTGCACAGGCCCGGGCAGAGTGGCCAAAATTGGGGACTTTGGAATGGCCCGCGATATATACAGGTAATGTCTTCTTCTGTCACATTTTCCATGTTCCCATGTGCAGTTTGTGTGCATGCAAGAAGACTTGAGTAATCCGTTCATAATCTTTTTTCCTCTGAAAGTCTCTATGGGACGGTATGCCTGGTTGTGCCACCTTGACCTCTCCCTTCCTGGCAGTACTGTATAGAGCAGCTCCCAGTCTCAGAACTCCTTTCTCTCTTTCCACAGAGCCAGTTACTACAGGAAGGGGGGTCGAGCCATGTTGCCTGTAAAGTGGATGCCCCCAGAAGCCTTTTTAGAGGGAGTTTTCACCTGCAAGACAGACACGTGGTAATGCTCCTGAGTTTTTATTTTTAAGATGCCTTGCACATCACTTTCATCTGCACTTTGTTTGTGCTGTAGATATGTTGTCATACCTGTAGGAGATGAACTTGCTTCATAAACCAGAGTGAAACTGTACTCCTTGTATTTTGGCTACAGAATATCTTTTCCATTTGTGAAAATGGAAATTTCAAGCATTTTTGTTCATTTGTTATAGTGTTTATTCTCTTCAGTTCAACCGTTTCCCAGCCCCCCTTACCCCACAGAAACAATTAACACCGTTCATTGCAGCCTAGTACAATTTGCACCTTGAATTTTTGCAGGGTTTCTTCATAAACATGAATAGTTAAAATGACTATGCTCGGCTGTACAAAGTAAAGCAAATTAACTTTAATTTCTGTACTGTCACAAACATGCATATGCATAAACACTGTACTAGATTCTTTAATGTTGGTAACTTTGCACAGTTCTGGTGAAATATACTGTATATTTATATGGTAAAACCTGACAAGCTGGTAGATTAAGTTTTTTCAGTCTGTGATGTTGAGGGTGCTCTTTGTCACCCTCTGCAGGTCATTTGGGGTACTGCTATGGGAGATATTCTCTCTCGGGTACATGCCATACCCCTGCAAGACCAATCAAGAGGTGCTGGAGTTTGTCACGAGTGGTGGCAGGATGGATCCTCCAAAGAGCTGCCCTGGGCCTGTGTGAGTTCCTTTCTCCTAGTCTCTCCCGCGCTGCTGCTCCACCTCTTAGTGCTTTGCATCTCGTAGTTTTGTGATCAGATAATACTTCATCATTTGATTACGCAGATATTTGTCTTGCATCAAAGCAGCTAGGTTTTACACACACAGAAACTTACAAAACATACAAACAGTACAATTTAACATTACTGTACAAAGTAAAATAACACTGCATAACAGACATCTACCCATATAGATTGATTTCACACCACTTGTACAGGAATCCACACCTCTACACCAGATTGCTGTAAGTTTACACCTGCACTAAACCCATATAATTACACATTATTCTTTCATTTTTGTACATAATCTATGAATAGCACTCATGCATAAAACATTACTCCTTTATTGTGAACTAATTTATTGATTCAGCAATTCAGTTGAGCATTGCATAAAATAATTACTCATTTCGTTCACTCTGCATATCTCTAAATTCATTGCTGTGCATTTCGGTCATCTTTCCTACAGGTATCGGATCATGACTCAGTGTTGGCAACACTGCCCTGAGCACAGACCCAACTTCTCCACAATCTTAGAAAGGATCAACTACTGTACTCAGGTATACAGCCTTTCCACTCCAACAGCTCTCTTTTCATTTAGTTACTACCTTTTTGGGATTCATGAGTATTCTGGAAATCGGTGCTTCTCCATATACAGTATTAAATCTTAACATTGCAGCATTTTTAAGTTATGAAGTAGTTCAAGTAGGGAGCTGCATCAGCATGCGTAGGTTCACAAAGGAACAAGTAAAGGTTTATTCCAAGCCGAAAAGAAAAGAAAAGAAACCCAACGTTTCGGCTGTGGAGCCTTCTTTGGGTGTGGGAGAAGAACACTTCCGAAGAAGGCTTCACAGCCAAAACATTGTTTTTCTTTTCTTTTCTTTTCAACGTGGAATAAACCTTTACTTGTTCCTTTGCATTTTTTGGTTATGTCCCCAATACCCACAAGTATCCAGTGATTTGAAAAGTGGGGTCTGTTGTTCACTGCTGAGTCCCTGAAACCTCATTGTGAGTCCTCTCTCTCTATCAGGACCCTGATGTCATCAACACTCCTTTGCCTGTGGAGTATGGGCCGCCACCAGAAGAAGAAGGCAGCACGGTGATGCGCCCTGAGGGATCAGGGAGTATGACCCCCCTGCTGGTAACTCCCTCACTGTCCCCAGACCCCTCACCGCGACAAAACCATGTGGCACAGCTGACCCAGGCTCATAAGCCACTCTCGTTACTACACCGTCCCCTTCAGAGACAACAGGAGCTTGTGGTGCCCAGGGAACTGCTGGGAGGAGGAGGCTGGGTGGAGCCCAGCCCAGCCCAGGGGCTCTCTCCTGGAGCTTGGCTCCACCCAGACTCTATCACCTCTCCAGCCGGCTCTGCCTCGGGGAACCAGAAACTGAAGAACAAGACCAAGAATTTGTGGAACCCCACCTACGGCTCTTGGGTTCTGGAGAGCTTAGGCCGCGGGAAAGCAGCCCCCCCGCCGTCCCAGCCTCCCCCCGCTGCAGCAGCTGGACCTGCGTTGCCGGCCCCAGAGAGGGATGATTCGGGCTTCGACGGGAATGGCAGCTCCTCTGCACCCAGCTCCAGGGCTTCCCCTTCCTCCCCCTCGCCCGCGAGCCCCCAGAGCTCGGGTCCGTCTTTCCGCAAGGGCGCGGGGGGCTCGTCGGGGGTGGCAGGGGTGGATCTGGCCAAGCTTCAGAGCTTCCCCTGCGGAAATGTCAACTACGCCTATGACGACCAAAGCTACGAGGCTGAGAGCCTCCCGCTGGTGGTGCCAAGGGGACCGGAGCTCAATACTAGCGCTGCGGCGTTCAGCAATGCCAGCTCCGCCGCTGGCGCTGGCAAACCGCCGGTGCAGCGCCAGGCCAGCTGCGGCCCGGAGGACGTCCAGCTCCTGAGCAAGCCCGAGAAACCCATCCGAGACAGAGATTCGGGCTTCTCTCTGTCAGAGGACCTAAGCGTGACACCAGTTTGACCACCAAGCCCCTCACCTCACTGCTGAAAACACTGACACTGGAACCACACCCTGGAGTACCTAGAGTGCGGCTTGGCCATCTCACAGGAGATGGCAGCCGTGATTTTGACCTTTTCCTTTTATTTCCTTTGGTACTGTTACTGTTATATAAATGCTTCTAGTTACATACAGTACCACACTGTATGTTCACCTGCTGGTTTTGAAAAGCTGTAATGAAGCATAAAATTAAAGCGAAAGAGGAAGTGAAGATCACCAAAATGCACGATCCTTCACGGAGACGTTTTTGTATACTTCATTTAGTGCATTTCTTTAACCTTCAAGTCACTTTCTAATTTCCAAGCTGTCTGCTGTGATCCAAGTCCAGAAAGCCCCTCAACAGAAGGAACCTCTGACGAGCTTCGTTTGAGAATCTCATTTCTCAACCGGCATCTTTTTAGTTGACCAAGTGTGGCACTCATCCCTTGAGGCCTGTCCATCATTTTTGTCTTTCCTGCATCTCAAACCTGTAATCGCTGAGATTAAACACTTTTTCGAATAAATGGAAAGTCAGAACCCATTTAAGGGTGACCAGGCACTGATGCACAGAGGACAGTTTTTCCCATTGAGAAGCGAAGGCTCTTGTCCCATCATTAACCTTTTCAGGGACTGAAAGCAACCCTGTCTTGTGATGCTACCGTTTTCTCCTCCATCTTCCTGGTGGGGCTTTGGTTCTTTTAGTCATTGCAAGTTTGTATAGAAAGAATCAAATGAAACTGGCTCTGGTGTGATAATATCACTGATGTGGCGCATTGATCACAAGAGAAGCAGGCATGTCCTTTAAATAAGACTGCAAAGGGTCCTCATGGCAAACTGTGAAGATGTGGTTTAATATTATTTAATTTTCAGCTAACCTTAAACTCTCATGCTCTTTCGTTTACTTAAACAACGTTTAAGAATGTTTTCCCCAAACCACCTTGAATTGGGACTTCCCTGTCCCATCTCTGTTTTACGCAAAGAGAGGAGTTCTTGCATGTAGCTCATCTTTTGTGTTCTTGTGCAGGAGAAATGCAAATTAGTTAACATTACAATGTTTAGTCCTGTGTCATGTCAACATGTACTCAAGTGAAGATAAATAAGTTGTGCTGGATGTGAACTGGAAAGCCACCAGGGACAATACGTGTCACTGTTAAATGTGCAATTATCCTTTTATTTTGTAATACTATATTATTTATCAGTGCTTTTCAAGAAACCCAAGACACTGCATTGCACTGAAATGTGTGTAAGACTGAATGTCAGACTACACATTCAGCAGAGTAGCTTAACCTGCTTTTTAAACACAAATGAGGATGTATGACTACTTATTTATAGTAACAAACTGAGACCAAGATGTGTTTAAGAGTTTGTGGAGTCAATAGGAAGTAATTTGTCTGCTACTGTACATTTGGTAATGGTGCATTTACATGTGTTCTGGAATCGTTTTCACTAATTCTGGTTTCGCATTCTTCATTCTTCAGGAATGGTCCATTTAAACTTAATCCCTGAGTGTGTTGAAATATTGAAAACATGAAAATATTACACTAAAGAACTGCCAAATCTGGTGTGAATGACAATCGCATCGCAAAGTTCATAGCAAAAAACACTGGCATAATGAAAATGCCATTTTATCTTGATGGTACAACTGAAGGTCAGCACTGCTTTCTTGTTTGTGTTCCTTCAAATTCACAGGCCAGAATGCATTATGGGAAGACAGCAATGACATTCCATTTCTGGTTGGGATTGAAAGTTTTTTTTATTTTAATTTGTGGTAAATACCCTTTATGATTGAAATACCTTGTACATTATGTGTGAAAATTGTGTTACTAGTATCTTTACTTTAAAAATGTTTTTACGGTAAGTTCTTCTTCTCTAGATTCTCTGTCTCAGTAGGCCAAAGTATAGTACTTGCAAATTCAGATAAAAGTACTGCTAACAGTTGTGATTCGCCAAGTGTTCCTGTTTGATCTGGGCTGTTCCTTAAGCATTCAGTGTTATTAATACCTTACTTAATTCTGGGAAAATCTTAAATTAGCCATGTTTGTTTTCCACAGTGACACAACAACATAAGCAGTAAATGATTAGATTGAAAACTGATTATAATAACTTAACGCCAGCTGTCAAATCCTTACCTAGAACATGCAAGTTTGAATTCCCAGAAGAAACTAAGCTGAGTCCTGATTGAATGCAGGCCAGAGTTTTACTGCCAAGGTTTTTTTTTGTACGTCCAGAGTTTTATGTTCATTACAAACCTAAATATTACTATTTAAAAGCAATATATTCAGGGATTTTAATTATTTTTCTCTCTTAGACTTATAGTATGGATACATAACTTGACAGTGCATTGTAAATCCATAGCATAATTAACTAGTAATTTTATTTAAATCTACGGGTATTTGGGGGGTTTTAGTAAGGAAACTCTTGTTAGTGTGACTTGTGACTTTCTGTATTTCACATTCTTATCTCTAAAAGAATTTTACAAATTTTACAGGCTTCTTTTAAACAGTGCGTTTGTGCCAAATACAGTACATATTTATTTAAATTATATTCTATAAAACTACAAATACATAGTGAAGAAGGCAGATTTAGAACAGCTGAGAATTAAACATTTGATATAGACATAAGTCTATCAATAAAAAATTTAAGATATAAATTATTGTTGGAAGATTATGGGTTGAAATCCCAGGTGAGACACTGCTGTTTTATCCTTGAGCTACTGTAGGTTCTTCACCTTAGTTGCTCAACTAAAATACCCAGCTGTATAAATATGTGCGACTAAAATTTTATTTGGATAAAAGTCTCAGATAGAATAAATTAGTAATAACTGTGTTTTGCTATAGATTTATTTTTAAGTATGTCTTTGTATGTGGTACTTTTGGTGATAATGTTTCATTAGTTTTCACAAAGAATTGTATGTTCTAGCTTGCATTACCTAAATTAGGCAGGAGGGGGCAGCCTTTACAACTGGAATAAGACCTACTGCGCCGTTGGTAGACTTCCAAATAACACTGTAATTGATGATTTTATTTCATTTGTGCAAGATGAAAAGTTTTTAAGCTCTTGTGATGCAAATGTAGTCTGCTAGGAAACCAGGCACCTTTTAACACATCATTTATCTTAGGATGTTTATGAAAGTCAGTGCTTTGTTAAACTAGAATAGCTTTCAGAAAAGACTGTGTCCATACGGGCAATCCTTACTGAAGTCAATAGCACCAGTTTTTCATGCACTACATCTGTAAAATAGATTAATTTCTTTTTCTGCGACAATCACACAGCATTCCTCTAGGGCACGTTTCAGAAAGCAGGTATAGAGATTTTCAAATAAGGGAGGCTTGCATGGTAAAAGATGTTGAACTGCTCGTGGTGAGAGAGACAGATAAAATGTGGCCTTGTACGTGGTGAAAGTATTTTAGTATAATTCCTATCGTTGCAAATGATTCTAGGTTTACTGCTCAGAAAGCCGCTGAGGATATAAAGGAAAAATGAAAATGCTTTACTCTAAATGGTAGTCAATAATTCTTTAATAACAGAATTTTGAGATGTGACATTAGATGTGATTTACAGTATACATTTCATTTCAAAACTCTTGGCTTATAGCCAAATGAACTTCATGTCCCCTGCTACCATTCATCACCTGAGGACAAATACAGTATATTTACTTTTTTTATGTGTTGCTTCTGACACTTCAATCAAAACTTCAGATATTTCCTGCTTGATGCTAGTGATAGTGTCCTTCGAAGACGTACAGTATCTAAGGGAAAGCAGTGTTTGAATAACACTGCTGATGGCATATGAGTCCCACTGTGAATTGATTCAAGTCCTGTTGGATAACTGAAACATTATGTAATAAGTCTTGCAATGAAGAGAGATTTCACTTTCTCTTTTTATCGCACTTCTCTACAATGTAGAAAATCAAGCCACGGTCTTTGCTAGGTGAAGCAGTATAAGATCATGCGTGTTTACATAGGGTTTAGTTTTGTCACTCCATTTCATCAAGTCCTTTGAGCCTCCTTGACATCACAAGCCTGTGGCAAAGAGACTTGAAAATTATGCACAGCAGACCCTTTCTTACTATCCCAGACTACTGGGACCGAATGTATAAGCTCTACGCATTTTATGTTGTCTTTTGTCTCCAACCCTGGTCCTGGAAAACCCCAATTCTGTTAGTGTTGTTGTCCACCTGTTTTTAAAGATTGGCAACATCTGTAAGCTATTGATGAATCAAGCAAGTAATCTGCTCAGTGACAAGGATTTAAGGTTTTAGTCCTTAATGATCGCTATATTACCTATTTTAACACATCAGTGGTATAATTGATCACAATGGAATTGTTGCACATCTTTAGAAACTGGTGACTTAATGCTAATCTGAAACACCTGCCATACTGGGGCATTTGAGGACCAGGGTTGTAGATCCTCGATTTTTTTAAAATAATTTTGGTAGTGCTCTTTTAAAATATCCCTGATAAATTGACAAAGCTTTTTAGCCTCACTTGTACATCATAAAGTATAAAATGTTACAAATGTAAGGAAACAAAATGGCTTTACTCTATGCAATTTTAAAATACAATAACTGTATTCTTCTATATTTGCAACATAAATAAAAAGGCATTGCTGTACCTGTTTGTAGTTGTGTATTCTCATTTCTTAATGGCTGCTAAAATGACTGGATGAGATTATTTTTAAATGATTTTTGTGTGTTGTGCAAATGTTATTGGATTGAATCACTCATTTTAATTTAAAACTGGTGAGTGCAGGATACATTCTTTAAAGAAATGCTAGATTTGCTTCTGTTAAACAATCGTTGGAATGTGTTTTTGGAAGAATGCTTGAGTGTCAAAGTGGACTTTGACCCTGTTTCTGTGTAAAGGATCAGTTCAATGTTATCTAAGCACTGGAACAACCAGCCCATCTCATGTGTGAAACATCCAGGAGAAGGAAGAAAAGATGAGACCACAGAATGCTAGATGGTTTCTTTTATTGGAAAATGTTAAAAACAAAATCAACCAGTAGAGCAAATTTACAGAGCAGTTTGGTAAATCTATGTAGTAGTGTTTCTGTGTGCAGTACTGTTGAATATACAGTAGTCACTCATAAATAAAGGCTTCCTTTGCCCTAGCGGCTCCAAAGACTAGTACCAAAATTAAAGACACTGGGTGAAATTGACACAACCGCCTTGAGGATTAAACATTTTTTTAGTTTCTCTAATTGGGTTATGGGACCACAAAAATAATCTGCAACGTCCGTAGACATTAAACAAAAAAAAAACGGAGAATTCCACTTCACTATTATTGTGAAATGTCAATGCTTTTTCTTGTACGGATTCTCATAAATTCCACCTTCCTTACTGAATATTGTATATGTGCTCTGCCTGATTTTATGCTCTGCACGGGATTTAATTTTTCACATCGAATAACTTTTCCACTAAAAACCGCTTGTATGAATTGGTAGGGAATGAGAAATGAACGCTACTCTTTCACATAAAAAAATAAAACTGCATTATAAAGGTTTAAGACCAAAAATACTTTTTATGTAAATACTGTATACATATCTGTTTATATATCCCAAAATGTATTTTATATACTTGAAAATATATATATATATCCTGTCCTAGCTCTTATAATTTGTAATTCTTTATATCTATTGAGTGATAAGATTCAAATTAGTGAATGTGAAAAGACATATTTTTGGTACAATAAAGGTTACTAATACTTCCAAGTAACAGGTTTTGTCAACCACACCCAGTGACTAGGAATACATAATGTCCTTTAAAGTACTATATAGCAAGTACAGGTAGTATATATTGTACAAAAAAATCAGTTTTGTAAAGCAAACCAATAAATGCAAGTTATGTATGTATGATTATATATGATTAACTTGTGCTTTTTTTGGAACTACAGCTCTTCTCAGATGTCTTGTGCTGTTGCCTAAATGAAAACCAACCTGCTTGCCAGAGAGATGAATAATTGGTGTGAAAAGAAATTGCACATTAATCACAGAATAAAAAGATGGGATTCTATGGTAACGTTTGAACCTTCCACAGCCACTCAAAATAAACATATCTGACATTTATTTTTTCATATTACCTGCTTTTTTATAACAACTAAGCAAATGACATTAGTAAAAAGTACAAAATGAATTAACCCAAAATAAGTCTTTGGTTTTTGGAGGCCGTATGATTAGTTTGATGGTCAAATGTACAGGTTAGTGTTCTGTTTTGTAAACATTATCAAAGTTTTTTTTTGTTTATAAATGTGTTTTTAATGTAATAAAGCAAAGCATACAACTACATCTTATTCATATTATAAAGTACCTGGTGATGATGTGGAATGTGGTCACACAGGTAGAATGTTTTCACATTTAAGATTTTCACAGCACAAGGTATGATTTTTTTTATAAGTAATTGACAAAAATGTCTAAATGTTATGCATCATACCACTGGCTTTGCAGAAAATAATTAGAACTATTCCTGGAAACATTCAAACAATGCAAGACACTGCATGATTAGAACTAATTTGAGTCTGTGAAACCAGCCTTCACACCCTTTGTCCTGCTGTCTGCTTTTGAGGTTTGGATTCCAACAGATTGACCATTCGGATCACTTAATATCTATGAACTGATTGATGGGCTGTTTCTACTTGGATAACCATAACAACAGGCCCAAGAGGACAGGACATCAGCCCTAGACATTGCAGAAAATGCTGACTATCCATCATAATTAATGTATCACAAACCTACTGTCTGGAGGTGGGGTACACCAGAGGTTTCTTTTCTCCCAATGGGAGTTTTGTCCTCTTCTCCATGCCCAGCGGTCTAAAGTTATTATATTGTTAAATGCTATAGGAAACCTGATACCAAACAAAATGACTGACTGACTGGTTACTGCCTTTAAGCTGAAACGGCCACTGACCTGATACAAAATTACATACAGTAGTTATTCTAGATAGAAATAAGGCTTTAGTGTGCTAGTATGATGAAAAGGGTGCTGCACCATGTCATGAATGATACAGTTGTTTGTTTTGTTGTCTGTAATTATTTAGGTTTAATAAGTGATTTAATAGGGTATTTCTTAACCTGTATGTTGACTACATATTGTATCTAACATTGCTTCTGAAGATCCAGCAGTCCTCCCTCACTGGTGTTGAAAAGATAATGCTTTGGACTGGAAATCCCTGGTATACAAGGATAAGTAAATTTTCAAAGACTCGCAAACTTTCTCAGTTTTTTTTTAAACAAATTTACAATGTGTCTTTAAAAGCTACAGATATTTGGTAGTAAATGAGGTTTTCAAAGGGACCTCAATGTAATATTAAGAGAATTGTGTCGGAAAGTGGAAACTGACTCACTGTCTGTAAGAATGAAGAGAAGGACTTCAGGAGAGATCAGTTAGACCAGGCATCTCTCTGCAACACTCACTGGAGATCTGGGAGAAATAAGACAGTGTAAAAGAGTGCTGAAGATCACCAGTAGAGTGTTAAGGAGTCCTGTGTTAGTCCTTTAACACCCTAAATCAAATAAGACCCAATAAAAACTACTGTATCTTTCATTTCAATTTTTTTTTCTTTTGATGGTTCTTTATGTACAATGTTCTCAGGCCCGTTTCTGATACACAGTCCTCTTAAAAGGTGTGTAGCAGGGGTGTCCAACTCCAGTCTGCGGAGGATGGCTATTCCCTTTTTTATTTCAAATCAGCTCTTAACAAGCCCAATGTCCAAAATATTGGAGCATATCAACTCTTATTCTGGAGCTTCCGATTTGATACCCCAAAACCTGCATGAATGTGGCCCCCAAAGGCTTGAGTTGGGCACCTTTTGTGTACAGATTATGAACAAGTGTACTGTAGAGCTGCGACTGACTCAATAGCTACATTCCTGACGTGGCATCTCATTCCGCCAAAGTAATGGTAAAGTCCAAGAGGTTTAGGTTCTACCAACAAACCATTAGGAATTCTAGACTTAGAACCACAGTGTTGGATCTAAAAATGAGGAATTTGTAGTACCATCAGTTTGCATGTGAAGAGGTAAGTACAGTGCAGAGTGAGGGACAGTCTCCATGGTCAGTTACCAGGGCTCGCAATTACCGCCTTTCAGAAATGGAGTACCATTTACTGAAATGTGCAAGATGTCTGTCCTTCAAGACCAATCCTCAGACTGCAGGAGCCAATTCGGCCTTTTTAAACGCTGAACGAAATGAAGGCGTTCATGCACAGGAGCAGCAGAGAAAGTGTCGACCCGAGTCCCAGCTGCCGCCAGGCATCACTGCAGTGGGATGTCGGCCAGCAGCTGCAGCAGGTTGTCCAGCCCCCACAGGTAGCCGTCCTCGCGGTTTCCCTCCTGCCACGGCAGCCGGTGGGTCAGCGTCTGCCCTTCCGGGAGAGGGGTGGTCTTCCCGAAATCGATGAGCCACACGTTGGCCTTCTCGTTGCGGTCATGGATGAAGAGCAGCGAGCTCCCAATCACCTGCGCACAATTGGGCACAAAGTAGGGGTCAGATGCTACAAGAAGAACGCTGAGCACAAGTAAGTTGCACCTTTTTATTTCTGGAGCAGAGAAAGCTAAGGGCGACACATGAGTCTCCTAGAACATCAAAGGCACTGAGCACATCATTGACTTAATGAGAATTCACCGTGAATTTCAGTTTCCTCTTTGTTGAACCACCTGCACAATGCAATACTAGCAGGTTCTAAACAAAAACCTGTTTTTCAGTGGGAATTTCAAGGTATTGTTCATACATAAGCCTGACGGACTGGAATATAGTAAAAAGTCTCACAGAATTCACACTACATGATATTTTTCATTGGGATTGGATCACTTTTTTAATATCTTCATTGTTCCTCACCTCGTGTTTTTTGAAGAATTCTGATGATTCCAAGACTCGCCGAATCTCTTCCAGTTTCTTCAGGTAGGAGCTCTGTGGAGAATGAATTTATACATGGTTCCATTCCTGTAGGATTGTGAAAAACATACAATATCGTGCGCTCTGCACTTGTGGCAGTTGCGCCAACTGTAAGGAAATGGAGAGGTGTAATGACAATGGAATGGTCACTAGGGGATGCCAAAGCAGTTAATGTATGTAAAAAAGATTTGCAATTGTTTAGATTAGAACATCTGAGCGGATGGGGTTTAAACAGTATGTGTAAAAAAGCATGTTATTATTTCCTAGGATATGTTAGTTAATGTGTGGTGGTGGGGTGGTAATAATTCTGGGTCAACTGCACCAAGCCATGCACTGGGAATAACCTTATGGTTAGTATGCAGGCCAACGGCAACAGAACTGATGGATTACTTTAATCAACATCTGAACACAAAGACCTTTCTGAAATGCACAGACTCCCAAAATAATTGTTACTGCCACCTAACACAGTGGTTTCTCAATCCGGAGCATGGAGGGCTATTTTCTGGTTGTTGTTTTTTTTTGCTTCAGCCATGTTCTTAATTGCGGCAAATTGATTTGAATTTTCATCTATTTTATATGGGTCTTTACATTTTCTGTCAGCTCATAAATAAGTTGTACTGAGTTTGTATTGTAATTGACATCAACTCAATGCCAGTGCCTGAATTTTAGAACTCCCCTTATTCAGATATGCCAGGTAGCCAACTAGATTTTAATCAGGGGTTTAATTATCTGTATAATTGTAATATTTCTGACTAGCCTCTGAGGAGTTTTATACAGTAGGTAATGGCAATTTAAATGGAGATAGTGTTTTGAGTAATCAACTGTAAAAGATGTTAAAAAACATCTTGTATGTGTCTAAGAACATTATTAGGTTAATTATTTAATTGAAAACACAGGTTGGAGCAAAATGCAGAAGAAATTAGTCTCTCCGGGAAGTGAGCTTTCCACACCTGATTTGAGCAAAAAGAAAAACAAACATCCATTGCTAGTCAAGGACACTTAATAGACTCTGAGGAACTAGTTCACTGCTCATGTTATTATTTACTGAAAGTAAGTTTCCCATGGTATTCAATAATGGGGTTTGAAATGAAAGGGAGAGTGGGTTAGTGCTGGTAGGGAGCTGGAGGTACAGTAGTTAGATTGACAGGGTCTAGCCTTAGACAAGTGGTTTCATCAGAAGAAGACTTTTGTATTCGGTCTTACTAAAACACGAAGCTGTTCCAGGAATCTGTGATGTACATCAGTATGCAGAACTTATCATGTGTGAATGACCTCACGATGGCCATTCCGAACAGGTAATATTGCACACTGCCTGAGTATAGGTAGCCTACTGTGTAATGCTTACTCATATAAGGATAATACAAAATATGGGTACTACAAAGTTTACTGTCTTTTTTCCAAATGGGATCCTTTTTTATGCACCAACATTATGTTCTCTTGAACATGATTTGCCTGAATTTAATTTTTAATTTATCTTTTAGATAACATTTCTTATTGCTCGTTGTTTTTATATATTTTTTAGCCCTTTTAATTTACGTTGATATTTTATATTGATGTTTTATTCCTTTTAATTACCTTTTACTTTTTTATTTTGCACCTTTTACCACCTTTACTTCATGTTTAATGGAATCCAAAAATCCCACTTGTGATCCAATTGCCCATAGAACGTCTATGTGTAATTTGAGTTTAAGGATGACATAAAATGGGTTTTGTATTTAGTTTTGTGTGGTTTACATTTCCATACACAATTTTCCTGGTTTTAAAAATAAAAAAATAACACATGTACAAGCAGAGGTTCATTTCCTCTTTAATAATTGCAACATTCAACATGCAGTGTTTTATGTTGATTTTTTTTCCTTTTTCATTGTGTACAATGTAATCTCTTAGTGCAGTATATAATTAGCTCGCTCCCTCTTCAGGTCCTGTTTGGTATTACATCCGCAAAGCTTTATATCCATTTCCATACCAAGACAGGGAACCAGTTGGTCCTCAACTAAGTTCTGTGTCTTTTTTAGTTAAAATTAAAATTGACACTTTAATGTGGAATTGTTTTAGTAGCCAAATCTTCTTTTAGTACCAGGGGTGTCCTGTCCTGGTCCTGGAGGGCAGGTTTTCAAGGTCTGTTTAAAGCAGCAGCAGCTGAAATGCTGGGAGAAGCTGTTAGATTGGTCCAGCTAAGCCAGTAACGAGCTTTTTTAGCTCATTAACAAATAATTTGGAAGACACACAGACACAGTAGCTCTCCCAGGCCAGGATTGTACAGTCCTCAAATTAATTGTTATATGCTCTAAATATACTGTATGTGTAATTTAGTTTCGTGTTTTCATCTCAGAAAAAATGTTTTTAAATCCCGCACTGTGAAGAAAGCTTTCCAGACCAGACCTTATGATGCACCACTGTGTGGAGTTTGTTTCCTCTGCCACAGTCATATACAGTGCATAAAAAAAATTAGAATCCGTTGAGAATAACAAGTTCTCCCTGCATCGTTATCAGATATCAACTATCGTGTGAATGTTGTGTGTAATAGATCTTTGCAGACCTTGAAAGTGACACTTACAATGATGTTTTTGTTTCCTTCCACAAAATCAATGAAGACTTGGCTCACATCTTCCTTTAATCGAGTTTTCTTGAAGTCTGTGTTACAAGTCCCATCTGCTTTCTAGATCAAAACAAATAAGATATCCATGTTATTCACTCAAATGCAATTGTGCAATTATCATTCTGCAGCATAGCATCTCATTTTGCCTCTACTGATTGTAGTAGTCTAACTTCTTAGACTACTAGACTTTTTTCTGCATCATATGAATGGAAGTATAATAAACATTTTCTCATTGTTACCTGGATATTACTGATACAGGTGTGGAGAAGATGTAATCTGTTCATGCAAACTGTATGCTCTTTATGTTTTGACATATACTAAGCAGACTACTTATTATTTTAGGGAGTTTAGTTCAGGTAAAGAGAAATTAAGGCTAGTAAATTTAAATGTCATTTTTTAGTGGTGGTCAGAGATAGTGGTCTGGTTGCTTGATAAAGATCTGATGAATTTCCTGTTTAACTTGAAAAACAATGCAGTACACAGGACACACTGTTCAAAAACACCTTCATTACCATTCTCTCCTGTTGCTTTATCTGTAAGGTAATGTTATCTCATCTCTTCCACAAAATATCACAAACATCAGCATGAGCAGAGGACCTTCATGAGTTTTTATGTTGAAAGATGGTTATTTGTTTTTGTAGCATGTAGACGCAAGCACCCATTTTTTTCTGGTATATTAACGTTCTGATTTTTCCCCGCTGCTGCAGAAAAAAAAAGCCCTCCCACACAGACTGGCAATCGAGTTTAATCCAAATAGGTCAGCCCTCCAGACAAGGGTGTCAATCCTGCAGTGCCCAGCAGGGCGGCACTCACCTTGATGCCCTCGATCCGGAAGCCCAGTGTGTGCGTTGAGCTCAGAGTTTCCCTCCACTGCATGTAGCGTGGCTTGGTGATGGCCTGCTGCTCACGCTCTTCAGGGGTAGGAGCCTCGCTGTCCACCTCCAGCATTTTCTTGTACATGTCCTTACGTAGTTTTGGTCGCTCCCTGGCACGTACCAACTCATCTTCCAAGTACGTCCTGCAGGGGAAAGAAGGACACACTGTAGCGTTACTACAGAGCAAAGAAGGGCTCGGGTTTATCAAAGTACGTGAGATAGGGAATTCTACAAAGTGTTGGGCAGGGTATTTGGTTTTATCACATTGTTCTGTGTTGAGCCATTCCTTTCTATACATTGTAGTGTTTTCACTTTTCCCTAACCACTGCTTGCAGCTGATGCAAGAATATGACGAAAATGATCAACAAGAGGAGGTCGTTCAGTGCACTTAACTCATTTGATGGGATTGGACAATATGACTGAGTGACTTGCTCCATACACCCACAACCCTTTGGGTAAAGAAGTGCCTTCTGTTCTAAGTATGTTTTAAACACACTTTCACTTAGCCTCAGCTAGTTTGTGACACGCTGTTAAGTAAGAAATCCAGTGTGTTATCTTTGCCAGTGCCTTTAACAATTTTAAGTATTTGAATTAGGTTTGTTTGCACTCTCCTCTGCTAAGGACTTACCAGATGCAGTTCTTTTATTCTGTCATACATCAATTAATGCCATACACAAATGCTACATCACTGCAGATTCAAGTTAATTTTTCTGTGGGCAGGCTCAGCAGTTCAAGCACTGTAAATGAACAATGGTTAAGCATTGTTCTGCAAACAGATCAGGTTCCTTAATATTTTAACAGGGATGTGCAGCATAACGGAAATAAATGAGATCTAAAAAACAGCAATAAGCAACAATCTGAACGCCTACACCATCTGAGACAGTGAAGCTCGATTGGGCACCTGATTACAAGCCAATGATTAGATTCACATCAAGTATAAAGTTACTTTCACAAGAGTGTCAGGCAGAAACTTGTTTTATGCATTGAATTCATTAGCCAGCTGGCAGTCCCCCATTAGTTCAGCATGTTCTTCGTAAGAAACACCAGTAAAAAGGTCAATACACAAGATAATGAACTACATTGTTGCTAAGCACCCTGTCCCTTCTACCATTTTCTCTTCCCATGCACAATCCTTCTTGATCTACTCCAGTAATAATATAAACATGACACCCAATGAAACTATTCACACCTGCAGCCTGTGCTGTACAGTTTGTACAAACAAAAGACATAGCTTCTTCCAAAAGGGTTGCCTAGTAAATCATGTTAATTTCATAACTCTGTCATAAATTCTGACCTGATAGATAAAGACTGAGATTTTTGTCAAAAGAAAGGCCAGAATCATGGGAGGAGCACCAACACTTTCTGTTTAGAAACCAAGCACAAACAGAGCAATGTGGAATTTATGTATGCATTTTTGTCTGTCCTTCTAAATTATTTTTTTCACTTCAGTGAACTTTGCCTGACTTCCTGTGAGTGTGCGAGGAGGAAATCTACTGGGGGACACTGTGTGTGGTTCTGTCTCTCTTTCTCAAGCAGGAAGTGTGTGGTCGAGCTGTCAGAAAAATAAAACGCATTCTTTCAGCAGTTTTCTGCCCCACCCTTAGTGGCAGGAAGCAATCAAAGAAGACAGTGGCAGCACAGGTGTTTGAACCTTGAGCTGATTCAAGATAAGGCAACAACACATTCTGCATCACAACCCTGCTTCAACTGACCATAAGAGCACTAGCCATCAGCAGGCCTCTTGACTCATTTAGCATTAAATAGCTTTTGTAGTTTTGCTTTGTTTCTCCCTGGTTTTATTTTTACTCCTTCATTCCCCGGCTGATTGAAATATATCCAAACACCGACAATAACTGCAAACCCTTAGTGATTTCTGCCTCCACTAAAGATTATCGTTAATTGGTTTCAAACAATATATGGCATAATGATGTTACTGATGCCCACATCTTTTAATGGAAAGTAAAATACATCATATCTTACTTAACCTAAAAACCTAGAATAATTAACCTAAAAACCTAGAATAATTCATACCCGTTAACTTAATTGTATCCTATGTTTGTGGCTAATCAGTTTCTATAAATCAAACTGTTGTATCTCAAAAACACTTTCAAATATATACTCAGAAACAGTAAATGTATTAAGAAATGGTCTACTGAATTTTTCATTAAAATGCCTCCTAACAAGCTATCGTAAAACAGTGCATTGTGCTGCTCCATGACAATATTATGAAATAATCTGCATTTAAATAATTAATGAAATTTGTATGATTTATAGCTCACAAGCAACAATCATCACGGGTGACATCACAGTAAAGCAGTACAGCAATTCCCAGTTGGAATCCAACCTCGGCTGCTGCTTCCCAAAGCTCTTTTTGTGCTCGCTCTCCTACCTTATGCCCATTTTGCAGTCCATGACACAAGGCCCATCAAAGTCCCCCAGGAGGTCAGTTAGTTGCAGGTATGTGTCCCCATCCCTCTCCACCACCCCGTGATAGGCCGGCACATAGGGATACAGCACGTCGCCCACCAGCTGTTCAAAGCACAGCTTCTCATTCTCCGAGAACTTCTTCAGGATTGTGCCCTCATTGCCAGCCTTGAAGCTACCTGAGGAGAGATGGTCACAGTCCTGTAACTGCAGCAGGCACTAGTATTCAGCCAGGTGTAACCCACTTGACCCAGGATGTTCATGGTTCATCTCTGTTTGCAGCTTCTATTATGCTAAAAGGTAGACCATTTAGAACAGTGTTTAATGTTAATAGTCCTCAAATTTTAGAAATACTGTAATAATAGGAAAAGGTACAAGAACAGGAGTGCACAGAAGCACCTACCATGAACAAAACTATCCTTTTCCTGGACTAGCCTGAAACCCCCCTCCACTCATCCATTCATTTTCTAACTGCTTTATCCAATACAGTGTCACTGGGGAGCCCCAGCCTATTCGGGCAATCAATAGGTATAAGGCAGGATACACCCTTGACAAGACACCAGAGAAAAACACAAGTGAAAACACCTGGACAAAACATACGCAAACATAGGAAGAACCTACAAACTCCACACAGATAGCACCCCAGGTCCAGAATTGAACACAGGGCCCCAGTGCTGCATGGCAGCAATGCTCACCACTGCATCACCACACTTCCCTCTTGGCCATAACACATAATCAACACAATACTGTAAAAAGGTACCATCTTTCAAATAAGGTGTAGAACCAAGGTCCTGACTCTCTGTTGTCATTAAAAATCCCTGGGCATTTCTCAAAAAGAGCAGGGATGTTACCATAGTGTCCTGGCCAAATTTCCCACTGGCCTTTGCTGATCATAATCGTCATCTATCAATTGGCTTCATCGCTCTGCCCTTCTCCCCACTAATAGCTGAGTTGAGCGTACTGGCACCGTAGCATCATCCAGGTGGATGCTGCTCAGTGGTGGTGGAGAGAAGTCCCCATTACCTGTATAGCACTTTTACTGGAGGGTCCAGAAAAGTGCTACATTAAGTATATTATATATTATTAGTAGTAGTAGTATAGAACTGCCTCTTTCCCAGCTCGCAGTTCCCCTGTGATCTCTTACCTTTGTGTCCTGCTAACTGCACCCAGGAGAGGCGTTTGCGTTGTGAAGCTGCAAAGGGCCACTGAACGAGGGTCTTGATCTTCGACCAGGGTCTGTTCTGTACAAGAAAGAGCTGATTGGTCAGGAACATAGGCAGAGCTTGTGCATTTTATAGCTTTCTACACAAGAACACATACCCAAGGGTGTGAATATTTCATGTGTGCACATGTAATGATGTTCTGGTCACATATAACTAACAAAGCAGAAGATAATTATTTTCTTAAAACTATAAAACTGCTCCTTAGGAATGCACAAGACACTTAATATCCTCCCATTAACAGAGTCTCCTAGAAATTCTAGAATTCCTACAATGTAAATCGAAAGAAGAATTCTAATACACAAAGGATATTTGTTTTCTGGTAACATATGCAACTAAAATTAGTGAACAAATTAGTGAACAGCAGTTTTCGGCTGACTGGCTTCCTGTAAATGAAAAATGAAGTCTCTGTCATGAGAGGTAGGGGATTTATATCAAAATAACATAGAGGAAACATGTAAAAAAAGAATCAGTAAAAAAAATGATCACAGATTATAACTTCTCACCACGTAGGCACAGAGTATGGGGCAATTCTTTTGGGGTCTCTGTGTGTAGGCCAGAAGGAAAAAAATCTCCAGGCCTTCAAATGGAAAGTGAACATAACTCCTGGAGGTGTTCTGTTTTTGCTCAGACTTAGACTCTTAAAAGTTTACCAGTAACTTCCTTCCCACTATAAGTTTTGTATAGGGGAGAAGTTATAAAGTAAATATACTGGATCCTCAAAGAATACTCATCATCAACTCCTCATGCTGGTAAAACAGCCTGCAGTTAATTTCTTGTTTCAATGTGGCATAAGCAGAAGAAGGTAATGTGTAACTATGTGTGAAACATCTGCAAGTAGGTCTCTGGTGGTTTTCTTGGTGCTCACAGCGTTCCGGGATGTTTTGCATTTAGTGCTGGCCATGATGAAGGTGATGCACTGTCACAGATGAGAGTAGGAAGTGAAGCACAGTTGAAAGTTTGTTAACGGAGCTGAAATACTGATTAAGTCCCCTGTTTACTGCAGAGAAATGCTGCTTATTCTCACTAAAAGAAATACAATAGATACTATTGTATTTATTTACAATAGTAAATTAGCAGAATTAAGACTTTTGTATTGCAGCAGATAAATAAAAATAAATGATAAATATAACAGTGCCACAGTCAAAGATCTGCCTAATTGTAAAATATACACAATTTGAGCTTTGCTTTTAGTTTTTAATTAAATTCTTATTTGATTAAATAAGTCAATTGAGAACAATTTCTTATTTACAGTAATGAGTGTACCCATGAGCACAGCCAACCAGGGCAATTTCAAAAATTACCTTGCTCACCTCAACAGCAGGGCACAACAGCAGCTAGGATTTGAACCCACAACCTGCTGTCAGTCCTTGAGCCCTTGTGAGTTTTAGGCATTTGTTCCAAAACCTTTCTATCATCCCCAATATCAGCTTAGTAAGCAAAGACTTTTTCCATATGGTAATTCTAAAACCAAGTAAGCAGAGTACCTCTGTATACTTCACTTGAAGACTCGAGCAAGAGCAAGATGAGAGCTAAGTGATTAGAAATGAAGAGGCTTTATGTCTGAAGCTCTTGCTGCTTGGCTGTGTTGTATACAGTGTGAGAAGACAGATGCAGGCTGCACGTGGAGCTGCAGAGTGCACGATCAGCAGATCAGCAGGGGACTGAGAGGTATCGGGCGTGTTCAGTCAGGCACAGAGAGGTGCTGTGCAAGAGAGAAGGAAGCCAAACCTCAGAACACCCAGCTGGCTGCTCTCCCTCTGGGACTCCAAGGTAATGATTCACTTGTCTGCCACAGATCTGCACAGATCCTGCAGCTTGTACAGATTTTTGGGGTGTTATACATTTATATCCTTCTGATTATGAAAATAACAAAGTACAAATGTATTACTGTTAAAATAATATGATGAAGGCTAATGTAACCTGTATGCATTATGAAAGTTTCCAATGCTATCTCTGACCTAAGCTCATTTTATTTATCAGTACTTCAGATTCTCATAACCACATAATTTTTTTTTATTTGTTTTATACATGGAACCTCATCATAACTTTGAATGACACTCTGCTTTGGGAGCTTTTTACTCACGGTCTTATTCCAGTTCCCTGATACAGTTTTGCTGTTTTGCCAATATTACAGCGAAGCAAACTCCCAGTCACACAGTTCTGCTGAAGTTTCATATTTACATATACTGTATATTTGCCTTGCAAAGCTATTCAGACCCTTCCTATGGCATCCAAGTCTTTGACATTACCAAATAATGCAAACACACTTTCTTAAAATTATTTTATCAAAAACCTGAATGGTTAGGGTGAAGACGTCTAAGGGTAAGATAAGCTATAGTAAATGTCAATAGAAAATAATGAAATATATTGTAAGTATTCAGACCCGTGAACTTAATATTTATCAACTTTGCAGAGTGGCTTGGTTCAATATTTTCCCATTCTCCCTCACAGATAAGTTCTTTCAAGTTGCTTAGGGGCAGCAGATTTAAAGAATTCCAACAGATTCTCAATACGGTTCAAGTCAGGATTTTAACTGGACCTCTCTAAAACATTGACTTTCTTATTCCTAAGCCACTCCAGTCTAGCTTTGGATTATTGGCAAATGATCATTCAAGACTTTATGGATCATCCAAGTTATAGGCTTTAGCAGACTGAAACAGTCTGTAGATATGGTGTCGACAAGGTCTATACCAAATGTAACACTTTTAAAACAAAAGGTTCCAGTTTAGTCTCATCTGACCCCAACATTTTTGCAGGATCACTCATGCCTGGTGATCAGTTTGGAGAAACAGTCTGTTCTATAGACTGTCTTGGCAGTATGATGCTCTTGTCTTTTCTTGATGACTGAGCAGACAGTGCTCACGGGGCTAAATAAAAAAAACGTACCTTTACTTTTTCCTTTGCAACTAACGCAAGGTGACACAGCTCCAAGCTCAAACTTCTTACATTAACTTAGGTTTGGTACATCAAAGGTTTTGAATCCTTATACAATCATGACTCTTCCATTTTTTCTTTCATATTAATCATCTAAGGAATTAAGCAAGCTTTTAAACTACAAAATGTGAAAACTGGCCAAGGGTCTGAATACTTTTGCAAGGTACTGTCCATTTTACATGAGCTCAGCAAGCCTTTAAAACCACAGTATTACTCTCCAGAGAACTGTCAACTCATGCATAAACAGTTTCTGTCAGAGACTGCATTAGCTCAAAAACCTGGGGAATATAAGATTGGTCCTGGCTGACATAAAATATGCATCCTGTTAAGGACAGCTCTTTTTCAAACTATTCCACTGCATGATGATCTTTATAGTGAGTTAATATATGGCTGGAACTTTATCAGGCCTTATAAAATTCATAATATCATTTCATGGTAAAAACAAAACCTAACTGTTTTAAATCACTGTGAAATCATGGTAAAAAGATAGTAAATCATGACAGTCTTTTAGAAATTATAGCAAATCAAAGTGATTTCATGGAATAAGAATGGTGAAAATGATAAATGGACGAACTTTCATAAGTGATATTAGTTCCTGTCACTAAGAGAGGGCTCAAAATAGTAAAATGTGAAAGTCTTTGAGACATCAAGGCTGCAAGAAACATCCGTCTGTAGTGATGAACGAGAAGGATGCTAAAATGTTTGCTCAAGGACTTTCCCTTTAGAAAACAGAAAGGGAGTTCCTTTCCCAGGCTGAAGTCAAAAGGTCAAACTTGCTTCATAGCACAAACAAGGGATTTTTCCATTTAGTTACACATCCAACTGACACATCCACCTGAGTGCAGTCAGCAAGAGTAACTTTGACACATTGTTAAGGTATTTAGATACTTCCTGTCAGGATATCTTTTCCAGCTAACTAGTTGTTGAGCAACTGAAACATGCAATATGGGACCCACTTTGTCAATGAATCAATGTCACAACTTCAGGTTTTTTTGATTGTCAGTGAGCTTGACATTAAAAATATATATACATAACCACTGAATTTTTATGTCCTTATGCTTGTGCATATTGTTTACGAAACATCTAGAAAGCCTGTCTAGAAAGACAGACTTACAGTAACCATTAAGAAGGAAATATCCAGTAAATGTTTTCCTGATGCATCTAAATCGGAAGGCTGATCTGCAGTGCAGTTCCTCTTTCTACCAACAGGGGCCTCTGTATGCTTATCACCTAGACTCTAGGTCCTAGTGAATGTCTTGCCTCTTGACTCCTCCTTCCTTGAGGGGGTGCTTCATACTCACAAAGCTTAAAATGGTAAAGCAAACAACAGCAATAATGGATTTAATCGATTTATGATCTGGGTGGAGTATTTGCTGAGCTATAGCACAAGAAATTAAAAAAGTTGAGTATTACATAAACAGAGAATGTCAATGTTTTTTTTTGCTCTGTGGGTCAACATTAGTTCACTCCTTTGCCTGCAACCCTTTTCAACATGCTGATGTCTGTACTGACATTAAGCTGCAGGAGAGCTGCGACCGTCTGACAAAATGTACTGAGAAATACAGTGTTTGTACAAAATTCAAACTGTTTAATGGCTACAGCTTTACAATGTCACAGCTACTCCTGAGAGAATGACATTGAGGGTGGCTTCCAACAGACAACTGTTCTAAACGTAGATCAACATACTCAAATCACGTAATTACACCTGACACAGACAGCATAAGGATATTTAAGATTCAATGCAAACATCCAACATAAGTGCTTTTACAAGATCTACACCTACATCATGTTTGTATGCATAATACAGCTATGGTGAAGATATAACAGCTATTATTTGGAGTAGTAACATTACATAACTAACATGCAAAAAATGTTTAGTTAAGCAGAGCAGCACTCGCTATGTTAAAGACACCACATCCTGAATTCCTGAACCCTCTCCTTCCACTGCTTTGTGCAGCATGACCAGGACACCGTGAGAGCAAACAGCACTCTCTCAGCTCTGTGCTACAGTAGCTCTTTTTAAATAGCTATATCCTACAAAAGGAAAAACACATTTAACACATCTCCCCAGCTATTCTAAATGG